CGAATACAACTGTTTTATTCCAGCGACTAGTGTGCGTGGTATGCTTTGGCTTTATATCCTTGGTTACGGGTTGCCAACTTGGGGTTTAATGCTAATGTACCTGAAGATTTCTCGATACATCTATAATCAACCACATGCTCAAAATACAGTAGTCGGAAATCGATCTACTCGAGATATTGTTGTCATTCAGCGTATTATGATTCTAGTTGGAATACTGCTTGTACTTGCTCTACCTGGTACTATTTTATTGCTCATCTATTACATTACTGGATATGAATGTTCATTCGGCTACCGTCTTCAATCTGCTACATTACAGATATCTCTGCTTATACTGAGCGTTTTGATAGTTTTCATGACACCACAATTAAAGAATAATCTAATGACGACGTATCAGAAAACTCGAGTAGTTCCAATGCATACTTCAGAAAGCGTAATACATCAAAATCGAACTCGTATTACTCTTTCGTAAGACCAACTTCTCGCCCAATAACAAGATTGAAGTATATGCACAAAATTGTGACTTTAAATTGTTACTACAAAATGTTCCTGATACCCTTTCATCTCACTAGAATATTTCTTTACATCGTCATAATAAACTTATGATTTTCTCGAAGTCTCTGTTTTATTTGCTAATACGTCTTAATAAAACCAAGTTGACTAATCCGATGTATGGTGCTCTGAAGACTTTCATTTTATGCTCTATAAAAATCTGACGACTTGATAAAGAACCTACAGGATTACTTAGGATGATTGAACTTGTCGGATTTATAAGCTTGAGAAATAGTTTTGAAATTTTCTCAACGTTCTGTTCATAATTAAGAAATTTTCAAAATGACGCTGAATCAAACTCCAATCAGTAGTATGATAGTGAACGAATTTTGCGTATTCTTTTGAGTGAAGGCCTCGTGTAATTTGAATAATAAAGCCATATGTTCTCTTTTCTAAAATTTACAACGTGATACAAAGAATTAATTAATGAAAGAGGATATACGGCAATGATAAATAATGATTAAGCAGTTGCGACGAGTATGAACAATGGGATTTGCTGAGCTGAGCCTTCAAATCAATCTCTTCATTTAAAATTGTATTCGCTGCAAAGAAGGAGACAAATAATTGAGAAAAGATGCTGATTGGTGTGCTTCGATCGCTGCGAACAGTTTGAATCCGACATACAATCAAGATACAGATTTAAATGCCGTTGCGCATTGGTCAACCGAAATCAATTCTTGTTATTTGCTAATGGATCCAAACAGTGGCGTATCAAAGGGATCATAGGCCAAATGGGCGATTGCTCGTTGACATTTTACTTTGCCAGAATTTTTATATATGTTTTTGATTAGTCGAGACAACAATGAATTTTTACGAAATTCTGTGTATTATCTCAGATTATTTCAAGCATTTTATAAATTTTTTTCAAAAATATTTCTAATTCATCCGCATTTTTGAAAATTGAAAAAAAGATTTTAACTTCTTTGGAAATGTATTAGAGAAGAAAAATACTCTCCAGTGAGGATTTGACTAATTCAGTTCCTTCGCCTAACCACTGTCAATGGAAATCGTTGATTTTTCTTTGTTATTTTTTCAGTTCCACTCATTTTCATACAAACTGATCAATCGAGTGAGATTGGTTCAATGCTCAGATGACATTTCATTTGACACAAAAAACGAATACGCAATCTTTTGCGTCGAACTACGAGAAATTCATTTGAATAGGTGGTCAAAAGGCAAATTATTCGATTTTAATCCAGAAGACTCATTGCAATTGAATTGGTTGCTGTCCCATCCGTATGTTTTCAAACGCAATCGATCTTTCGCCATTTTATTTTGTTTTAAACACCTCATCCAGCCAATCTTGTTTGTCTTGGTAACTGAAAGTTTACTGGAAAATAGTAAAAGCCTTGCTCGTCTTTATCAGAACATCATCTTTACTGTTGTCCTCCATAGACATACTTGTAACACTGAACATTCAAAAGATGTCAAAAAGCATTTTTCAACTCGACGAATATCATTTGTCCAGATGGTGAGTTTCCGTCATCTTCGATTTGCTGATCATTTTCTTCAATTCGATTGTTGTTGATGCGGGTCACAGTTCGTGTTCCGGTGGTTTGTTCGTTTGCAATGATCAAAAGAAAAGTTTTCATCAATTGACTGCGAGAAGAATGTTCTTCAGAGTTTCTTTGTACCCGATGCTATCTGTTGTAGTAAGTGACTGGAAACGAATGGGAAATACAACTTCATCAACCGAACACGCAGACGATCATGAACATTGTTTTTTGTTCATATGTATACAGATGTGATGGTCAACATAATAAATGTCAAAAGAAACTTCAATCAGTTCCATGATTCAGAAAAAGCCCTTTCACCCAACTGGAGCAAACTTTTCTCCATGGGATATTTTCAAATTCATCGCTTCACTCTGATCTTAGAAATCAGCGATTATCAACACACAATATTCGTTCGTTTCCATCTTGTTTTCAATGAAACAAGCAAATGTTGTACTGAAACTGCTATGATGAATCTCTGTCATGATCAACATTACAACCGAAGATCGTTGATTTGGACTGAATCGCAAATCGAATCGAAATTGATTTTATTCGAAATAATTGTCCTGTTTTCTCTATCAATAGTCCGACGTTAAGCTTGAATCTGTCTCTCCTGTTCGTTCGATTCTTCAAAGAACTACTAAATATTCCAGATGAAAAAGCCTCATGTTAAGAAGGCATAACTTGTTGTCTATTGGTCAAGGGGTCATATAGATGCTGCCTATATCACTAAGCGTTCTGTTGTGTAGATCAAGTTTGTTTTCCGACTTTTGTTCTCATGAAAATCTTTCGATCGATTGTTTAGATTCATTGTTGTCGGAAAGGATATCTTTGTGATCCGCGATATATTCATCGTTAACAACTTTCATTTAATGATAAAGATGTTTGTACCAATCTCATGGAGTAACCAATGCACAATAATTTGTTCCTTTGGCGTTTTTCTAGGATGTTAGTTGTGAATCGAATGAATCACTATGTTGTCCAATGACATATCGCTATAATGACGAACACTTGATATGTCAAATAAATCCGACACAAGAAGAAGAACTTCCTCAGATGGAATCTTCACTGTCCAACATATTTTGTACAAAAAATGAAACGCACACCCACCCTCAATCAATCCTTCGTTTTCTGTCACTTTTCTTCGTATTTCAATGAGAAATCGCTTTTGTTTTTAGGATGTTTGTTACGATGATGATCATCATCATTGTTGTCCGTCCAATAAAGTCGGTGTGGTTATCTATCTTGGTCTTTCATTGATTAAAAGAGAAAAATATGGAAATGAAAATTTTTTATTGAATTTTTATTCAGAAATTGCAATACTATTGATTTGGATCATACAACAGCAATGATTCTACAATATATCTAGCCGTTCTATGATTCGAAGTTTTGAAAAAAGTTTGCTGGGTTTACAGAAGTGGTAATTGGTGAGATTCATTATCAAGAATGGGCATTCAATTGATCACTGTGAAAAAATTAAATGAGCCGAAATTTGTATAGGAGAAAGACAATGGTATCACCGAATAATGTACCAATCATGAAAGCCCTTCTCCCATAGGCCGGCGCCAAATCCGAATTTTCTGGAAAAAAGCCATTGAATAGTAAGCAAAGACAAATATTGAAACGAATCTACCTGTTTCGACTGCATTCGAATAACTATGAAGTGCTGACGGTGATGCTTCAGAACCTTCAGACCAATTTGCGTCGTATTCCTAGAAAGAAATAATCATGCCATTTTTGCCCGGTAGTTTCCGTCGAGAATCGACGAAGAATGGCTTTCTTCGACATGTGAAGTGGACGAGAACAGAATTTGTTTGTGTTAGGCCTCTCTTCCCTATCCTTTTTATTTTGTATATACAGCGACAAGAGAACAGAAAGAAACGTGATTGCGCGAGATAGGATCACGTCCAAGATCTCTCCGAACAGTAACTGAAAATGAACCGCTATTTACACCGATCGAATACAAAGAGATAGACGGGATGATACCCTGTGACATCATCTTAACAATGGATACATTTCTAGCAAGACGAAACGACAATATTTAGTTTACATAAGAGAATAATGTGTACATTAATTCATGAAAATGTAACACAATCAATATATGCACATAAAAGTCATCCTATAAACTCTCGGCCCTGATCAAAATTAGTTTACACATACGTAAGAAGTGAGTGGCACTTAATTGCACCTATGTAAACATCGATTATTGTAGACAATCTTTGAAGTGACTTGTTTGTAACTGATATTACTCCAGTTTAGGGTGAGGGTGTAACTAGGAGAATTTGTATAATCCAAATCATCATAGCAACCAGCCTATTTTCCAGGTGGTTTCATAAACTACAGATTGATTGATGTATGACAATATAATTATAGAAATAGAAAGTGATGCAAACCTATTCAGACCATTTCCAGACTAATACGTACTCATAGAAAGTAAATTACGTGTTGTTTTTGCTTATTGAAAATAGACTGGTTACATTATGCATGAGTTGCCTAATTCGACGTACATTATAAATGGACAACCAACAGCCTAATATCAATTCCAAAATGAATGCACACCCGTAGGAACAGATCTAGGAATAGATTTAGTTTTTGCTATACACCCACCCACTCTCACCTTCACCCTGTAAATATTTCTATCACTTTTCGGTTTTAGAGCATGTGCGATAAAGAATTTGTTATTAGAAATATATAATATTCAAAATCGAAAAGGATAGTGAGTTGTATCTAACGACATCTATTGAATTGTTCATTGATTATTTCGCATGATTCCAATGATGAAACGTTCTTTTTTTCCCAAAATCGATATGATAAATAAAATATCGATTGACCAGAGAGGTTTCGAATTCGAACAAGGTGTTGTTGTTAGCAACAAGTATTAAAATGGTAGATGTTATTGATTGATATGTCCATGCGTAATATTAAACTTTATTTTAACCTTTCTCAAATAGATTAATCATGTTCAAGTTACCTGATTCTAATGCACATCATACTTCCATAAACAATAATAAATATTCGTCCGAATTCGAAGCTGATGATGTTCAAGTGTGGACAAAGTAAAATTGTCTTCGAACCTCTTCTCTATCATCATTTTGATAATATTTAGACTTTTCGATCGGTCACAAATACTCGATGACAGAGATCGTCATCGAATCAATCACATATTTAATAAACTCATCACAAGTATTGTCAAATATGAACGGTAATTGCTCGAATCACCGTTCTAATCAAACGAGTATCTTTTCGAATTTTAGCGAACAAGACTTTCAATTACTTGAGGCACTTGCAAAACGACTATTGTCACCTGATAACGGTAGAGGAGAAAATGAAGAGCCAATAGTATTAACTGTGCTTGATCAAGAACGACTGATAAAACTTCGTACGCTTTGTAAACGTTTGAAACATTATGATTTTATTGAAAAATTACTTTCAACTATGTTCACACGAGTATGATTGCACTTGATATTTGAATTCTTTCCAAAAACGAAGTCTATGCTTCTTGCTTAGGAAAAATCAAACGAATTATTTCTTCCACCAATTAATAAAACCCCTCCTCGAACTCGTTTATCATCTCTCTCTTTTGACGATGCTCGAATTTCGTTACCACTGAAGAAAAAACCACGAATATCAGCTGCACAATCTCCAACATCAGTATGTCCTATATTCCACTCAAGATCTTCCTTCAAATGCGTGTAACTCTCATTCTTCCTCTAGAATTTCGTAGTGTATCATTGATAGGTAACAAAAGACTATACTATTCATCCGCTCGCTTTTCTTTCGATCTATTTTATCAATCGTAAAGACAGAACATTGTGAACTTCAATTTATTTAGATTCAAACAAAACCCAAACCGACAATAATGATGCATGGCCCACTAACGTTACAAAATATCTATCAAGCAATTCCAGCAGCGACGCTTCAATTTGCTGAAAGTGAGTTCTTCTCCATACGATTGCAACACAATTCTCTTCCTATTCAGATGAATATGTTTGGCATGCCAATCGTCCTGTGAATATGATCTTAGCAACAGCAGTTCAACTACCAAATGTTTTAACTGAAGCAGCGGCGAATACAAACATCGAAAGTGAACAATTCTTTTCCAAAATGATCGAAGACATCATTCATGAATACGAAAAACGACATCCAAGTGATCACTATGCAGCCTTAAGAGAATGGAAAGAGAAACATGTAAGAAGAAATAGAATTTATTCTTCGAGTATTTCAACTTTATTTGTACAGAATGTCGATCATTATGCGGAATCAATTACACCAAATCAAATGAACGGATTCGAAACACTTCTTGATGTTGTCCAACGACGTCATTTAGGAAGAGTACATCGATATTTTCTCAATGTTGTTTCAACGAATCGTCATTTTAATCCATATGATTTAATTACAGTACCTGATAACAAAGTAGGTTTGCTTGTCCAATCTTTTCCTCTAGAAGAAACTCTGATTTGTAAAAATCTACAGGCTGATCCAGATAATCATTATGTTTTTTCGGTCTTTGGTGTACTGAATGTGCGTAAGAACGGACAAGATGTCGAATTTTTCGAATTAGCTGAATGGTATCGGCATGCAAAACTATGGCATGCATGTCGACAGATTCCATTTTTTCGAGATTATCTCGTTCGAAAAGAATTCAATCGGTAAGTTATAGCAGAAGTTGAAGTTTCCACTAAAAACCATCGATTTACTTCTCTTATTGCTAGATGGTTCTCCAATGCTCGTTTTGCTCGATTCGCACGACGTCGACATGAAGTTAGTAGCAAACATCTTCTATTAGCACAAAATCCAATCTTTCAAATGGCTATTCTGGAGATTCGTCGCTTCATTTGTGAATATCAACGCTTAACATTACTTCCGCCATTCCTTCCGTAATAACAAAATTTCGATATTTTCCGATTAGAAAAAAAGTTGATTTCTTCTCTCCAGGGACATGTCGTTAGCATTAAACGATCTCGAGTTGCTTGTTCAACAACATACAATGCATACAGTTGAATATACGAAGAAATTTTACAGCCACATTAAAACAATTATCAACATGACACGTGAAAGTTGTGGAAAGAAATTACATGTGATTTTAAAATGTCTGGAAGAAGATTCTCTGATGTTGTGAGTAAATTCGTGCAATGAAAATGGAACATGTGCTCATTTTTGAAATTTCCAGTGATCCATCATCTGGTTCGTTGTATGAACAACGAGTGAGAAAGGAAAATCTGCGAAAAGAACTCGAACAATTACAACACGATCTTCGGTAAAACAAAACTTTATATTATTTGTACTACAAATCGTTTTTTCTTTATTAGAAATATGTGTTCGTTTTTAAATCTATGTTCGGCTATGTTAGCATCGTGTTTATGTGATATACAACGGGATGCAATATCGCAATTTCAATTATCAACTGTCGTATTTTTGACGAAACTTCAATTCGATGAAATTGAATGTAAGTTTGAATCTACTGAAAAGATAAATCGAATGAAATCATTTTCAGCAAACCCGACACTTCGGTATTATCCATCACGAGATGATTATTTCAATTTACTTCAACTGGTTCTGCAACAACCGCAACAAATGCTTGCGGAATATTGGGGAAATATCTTAGAATTGAATATTTGTTTGAAAGATACAGATAAGTTTGGCGAAATTGCTCGTCAGGAAGGGTAGGAGAATTATTTTAATCATACAAACAGTTCTTTTTCTTTATGTTTTGAAGATTAACAAATAACTGTGAAATATGCGGAGAGAATCTTTATCCTGGTTTACAAGAAACATGCAAATGTAAAAAACAACAATCGAAAGGTTTGATTTGATTCTTATCAAACGAGAAACGTACAGGAACATTTTTGTCGATTAGGTTTCATTAATGAGCCAAATTATTTAGTTATCAAAGGTCATGGTTTTTTTGGCAGTGCAACTCGAACTGAGATTCTTCCATTTGAATTGATCTTTATCAAAGAGTATGTATTGCCTATTAGTGATCAGAAAATGCTTTGAAGTTCATATTTCAGTACGAAATATGAAGAAGAAATCAAGAATATTCTTTCACAATTCGGCGTATCGTTCGATGAACTCGATGCATACTGTGAATCAAATGAATGGCTTTGTGAAATACGACGTTTTTGTTTACAATGGACGCCAAGTCAAATGAAGGAAATGACTGAAATGAAAGAAGTTTTTCCCATCCAAGTTCGTATTGGAAAAAACTTTCCTCTCCAAAACGAAACTTCTAATTGATATTTCCGATAGGAACAATTGAAAATTCTTCGTGATTGGATTGACAAAACTCGTACATTTGAAATGACATATTCCACATCGAGTTCGCCTTATGTTATACAAATCGACTGTTCGATTATTAGAGAAGGTCTTTTTAAAGCAGTGAGCACGATCTATTCAGATCTGGGAAGATATCTCTACGAGTATGCTCTGATGAACGCACAACTTCTCATCGAAAAATTTCAACATGCTTCTGAGGTTCGTTTTTCAACAATTCGTCATTTTAAAAAAAATTGATGATCTGTTTTCAAGGTACTTGATCAACGACCTACAGCCCTGGAGGATTATGCACGATACGTCAGTTTCTTAACACCGCATAAGGCAGAACTGGCATCGAATCAACAGACGATTGATTATTTTACAAATCTGTTCGAAGTAACTCTCGTCACAATTGATGAATATGATTTCTAATTTGATTCTCGTAGACTATCTTTACCCATTTCGGTCATTTTCGTCTTGAAACTGAAGAAGATCCAATTGATAAATCATTGGTTGACATGTGGAAGTTATTTCAAAAGAAATTATCGAACGCCGCTGATTTTATCGTTCAAGAAATGTTAATTGTCAAAGAACGTCTACGTGAAATATTCGATGTAACAGATTTTCATTTACGAACTTCATTATGCGACAATTGTATTTAGAAATACTTTCACGAATGTGAAATCATCCACTATCAATCCACAACCGGAGTTTTTCTTGATCCAACGCAAGATCCATTAGAAATGATCAAACAACTACGACAAGTACAAAGCATTTTTTCGCATTTACTTCTCTTTTAAATTTCTTCATTTAGAATTGTATTCGTTTTCAAGCCGAACAAGAACAATTGAAACAATATGCTGACTGGCGTGCGTCAATTGCTGCGAATAGTTCGAATTCGACGTACGATCAAGATTCAGATTTGAATGATTTGAATACCGTTGCTTATTGGTCGACAGAAATCGATCATCGAAAGGATCTGTGGAAATATGTGGAAATTACCTCAACAACTATTAAAGAATGGAAATTGACGTTTATTAATAGAGTACGTGACGAATTTGGTTCTGAGGAAATACATTCTTGCTTTTTATAGTTTAATATTCCTCGTTCACGAGAAAAGATTGAATGCTGGCTGAGAATTGCCGAAGATTTCAATGATAAAGTGTCTCCTAATGATCCAGTGCTTTGCTATTGGATAAAAATATTAAAAGACTTTGAACAGAATATTAATTTACTGGAAAAATTATTGAGTGATGCTATGACAGTAAGATCTCTCTTTCTCTCAAAAAACTAACTTGAAAAAATCTCTTTCCATTGAAAGTCCGAACAATGGCGATTGCTTTTCCGTGCTAATGGACATGATTATGATCCTAAATTTAATTATCGTATTCAAGATCTGATCGATTTGAATATCCTTCGAGTCGAAAACTTCGATGTCTTCTTGCAAATACACAAACACGCAACACGAGAACAAAAGCTCAAAGAGAAACTAACTCAAATGCAAACGTGGATCGATGAACTTTACTATAGAATGATCAAATATGGAGTTGCGCACAAAACTACCACAGGTAAAATCTCTTTCACAAGCAACTTATCTTAGAACTCCGCATTTTGTATTTAGTTCGACATCGACTAACATCTTCCTATCGTCAACGTTTGAGTCGATATCGTGAATTGCGTTCTCGAGCATCAGCAGCTCAAGAAAATCCACCTGAACCTATTTCAGCAACAGAATCATCGATTGGTCTTAATGAAGAATCATATCTCATGATAAATTCGCAAGAAATTCTTCGACTAATCGAAGATCGTTTGTTGCTACTTCATACAAACGAGCCATTTCATATTGACATTGATAATTGCCGTGAACAATTCCAACAATATTACACACTATTCGATGCCATCAAAACTCTAACGCAATTGTGGTACGAAACGCAAAACAGATGGATATTTGTTCGAAGCGCATTGGCTAATTTGATTGGAGTTAATGATGATCGGATATTTTTCAGAGAACTTCATCAAAAATTTATTCATGCTGATCAAGATTTTCGAGTAAGGAAAAACAATTGATTTTGCAATTCGATGAAACCTTTCTTTAGAACTTTCAAAAAACCGCTTTTCAAAATCCATCTACCGCCAATCTAGCTAAAGTTAATACGAATCAAAAACAACTTCAAACATGGCTCAATACTTTTGTAAGTAGAATTTCTCTTCAATGAATTCAATTAACTTTGTATTCATCTTTCAGAATGAATTGATCGCTCAGCTGGAATTTTATCTAAATGAACAATATCGATCGAATTTCGGTCGATTCTATTTTCTCTCAACCGATGAACTAGTTAATTTGATATCATTTGGTCTCGATCCACGATACTACATTCCATATGTACGACAGCTATTCAGAGGTATTCACAATATTCAATTTCAGTTACCCGAACAATCCATTGGTGCGTCGACCAATCAAGCAGTGAATTCTGCTGCAATGGATATTTACGGTAAAATATCTGATAATATTATTCTATTGAAAGCATTGTTGTTCGTTTTGCAGCGTATCGATTAGAGGGTACTTCGATATCGAATAAATATCAAGAAGAATTACCGCTGATTTCGAAACTAAAATTATGTTTACCAACAATCGACAGTGCTCAATTGAATACTCGTATAATTAGTAGTCAAAGTGTGGTAAAATGGTTTCAATCATTGGAAAATCTCATGAAATATTCGTTAGCCAAATCGGTTTTTCAACTTTTCGATGAGAAGATTGAAAATCGATTAGAGAATTTTCTTACAAAAAAGACATTACAAACATCAAATGATCGATCATATCCATTACAAGTTCGTTTACTTGTCGAGCATGTCTTCTTCTCATTAACAATGCAAAAACACATCGAAAATCAATCGTATACTCCAATGCGGAACATCAAGTTCGTTTCTTTTCTTTTCTAAATTCATTTCATTACAACTGATTTAGATCTCAAATCGAGCATCAAATCGAAACATTGATGAAAAGTCCCAACACGCAACAGAACGGCTTAATTATTCAACAATTATATTTCCGAGATGTTCTGACAAGTAAATCAAAGGACTCCATCGTAGTTTTTCATTGTCGATTATTTTCATTTTCAGAATTTATTGAAGATAAAACAAATCTAACACTGAAAAGCTATGAATGGTTATCTTTGATGAAATATGAAATCGATCCGAATGCTCGAACAGATCAAAAGATTCATTTTGTTCAATTTCTCAATCGTATTCATTATAATTTCGAATATATCGGTATGAAACGATTTTATTCGCTTCGAACTTTAAAATCATTCATTCGTTTAGAACCTTCATCGACATTTATCATCTCTCCATTAATGGAACGAACACTGTTTCAATTAACTCAAGCCGTTTGCGCCTATCGTATCGGGGTGCTTCACGCAAAACCACAATCTGGTCGATTAACAACTATCCAAACATTAGCACAGGTTTGTTTTTCCTCTTGACAAAGAAATCGAGTAGAAATCAAATTCACGGATGTTTAGTTATGTGGAACGAATTTAATTGCTGTATCATGCCAGGCAACAACAGAAATTGAACACATAAGAAATGTTCATCAAGGTTTAATTACATCCAATACATGGTGTGTATTGAAGGATATGCAGCGATTAACAATAAGTAAGCGGATACTGAGATTTGCCTTGTTGAGTTAGACATAGTTAATTTGTGTATTTAGATTGTTTGTCGACACTGGCTGTTGCTATGCGTCATATTCGTGTTCAACTTGAAGAATATCGCATTCGATTTCAAGATTTTGTATCACCATTGAAACGAATAAAATCTCAATCGGATTTATCATTCCCGTCAGAATCTTGTTCAGTATGTTGAAAAAATAAATTCGTGAATGAATTACAATTCAATGCAATTTTAGGTTAAGAAACATGCCAGCGAATATCCAATGGAGAAAAAATTTGCCAATGAACATAATTTCATCATTTCGAATAACCAAGAAATTCTGCAATACCCATTAACTTATGGATTATTCGCAACATTTGATGATTTCTACCAACCATTATCACCGACGATCAAAGTAAATTACTCTCTCTCTCTCTAAATTTTGATCTTGCAATCGTGATTTGTTTTTCAATTAGTTTGACTGTCGGACAATTTCGATTTCACGTCCAGACTTGAAAATCATTACTGAATCATTTTTATATCTCAATCGATTGTATACTCTACAAGAACAACATAAGTGTCAAGTCACTGCACGAAACCTCGTCGATTTCATTGAATCTTTACGATTCATTGTAAGTTAAAATAAAGCATTATCGAGATCATCCAAATAATTTCGATTTAGTACGATGAAATGAAAACTTTCTGCTCTCCATACGTTCTCCTTCGATCAATTATTGAGCAGTCGGCTTATGTGAATATGAAAGAGGCAATTCTAACCGTTTTAAAGCAAAATCATCTGTACGATTCGCATATCGATGGCTTGATCGATAAATTCTTCAGCGAAAATCAAAACACTGAATCCGACGAAGAAGACAATGACGAGCTTTCTTGTGTGGACATTCTCAAACAAGAAGCATTTGATGATAAAATTGCTTTTGATGATGCAGAACAATTGTTTCAGAATGTAAATTGAATTCGGGTGCTCCTTACAGAATAATGACATTTGCACTTGTTTAGGCTTCTCGTCTCATGTATGCAATTCAACGGCATGATATGATATTCCTTATCGGACAAAGCGGTTCTGCAAAGTCAGGTCTGATTCGTTTAGCCGAACGAACATTCAACAAACAAATGAACTCGGCAAATGTAAGTTAATGATAATAGTTCGATTCTTTTTTCATTTTTCATTTAGGTAAATCCGGATGAACACGGAAAACAAACATCGATTATAATAGAGACCATATTTCCGAATTCGTATGATGAAGACCAAGTAAAACTTGATAGCGTTTGAATTCTTATCAAAACTTTTCTTTTTAGTTTTATCAAACAAAGGATAGTTTCATCGAACAATGGAAACAACAACAGATGATTAAATTGGCAAATGACATTGTAGACGAATTGTTTCTATAAGCTTAGTTTGAATAAACGATGATTTTTACCTATTTAGAGCTCGGAACAATATTGGATTGTTCTTGATATCGACTCGCATTCAAATTGGTTGACACCAGAGAAGATTCGATATCTTTACAAAGAACTTCAAACGACAATGTCTTGCTATAAGGGTAAAATGGAATTAAATGTTTTATTTTGAATTGGACTTTTTCGTTTGTGAAAAGGTATTTTGAAAATCATCATCGAATGCGATGATCTTCTGATTGATATTTCGCACCACGGTCAAATCTTCGTGTTGAATGTCGATAAATTTCACTCTCGAATGAAATTAATTCAATCAGCAGTAACAAATTTAGAATTGAAACTTCATCTTCGTGATGGAACGTACGTCTTTGCCTAACAGAACTTCTCTTTCTCAATTGCCAAGTGTACTTCTAGGTTGTCATCAATTCAACAGTTTGTCAATGATACGATTGAACCATACATAAACTTTCTTCAAACTGAACATATTCACGATGCGTATATCAACCATTTCACTGATTCATTTATCAAAATTCTCTGTGCATTTATTGAACAACATGTCATTGACGTTCAAAATCATCTCGATGCACTCAACTACGTATTTGCTTACTGTTTCATCTGGTCTTATGCTCATCCAATTCATCCAAAGTAAAAACTTTCGAATCATTCACCTCTTTATCAGTTCTGTTCTAGGTATGAACAACAAATCAATTCATTTGTTCGAGACCTTCTCAAACAATATCATTTCTCTTCGAATGATTGTAAACTCTTTGATTTCTATCCTGACATGCCTGCGGCTCGTTTCATTCCAATTCACCAGTGGCTGAAAGCTCATGATATAGCGTATAATTCTATACCGGAGTTCAATGGTGCGATGCGTTTAATGTCAATCCTCATTGCTTATAATCAACCGATCGGAATCTACAGTTCTGAGCAAGGTTTTGGTAAAACAACGTTGATGAACACTTTGCTAACAAACGTTTCGCATCATCGAATGATCTCAACTGGTGAACGAAAATGTTTTCTACGTGACGAAGTCTTTCGATATACTTTACCACTTTTGACACATAGCAAAAGTGTCCACAATACGAAATATGTTCTATGGTTTGAAGATGTGAAAACTGAAGATACTGAATTGATTCGTTCGTTGATTGATGAATATTCTTCATCGAAACAACAAAGTTTGAATATTGTTCTAACTGGTCAATCGTTCCATTCGTATCCAAAACGTTTTTCACGGCATTTCATTCCAATCATAATTCATCAATCAATTTCCACATTAATCGATTCGATTTATTCGATTCCAATCAAGAATTGGTTAGAAGAATTTTCTGCTGATGCCATAACTCATCCACTCGAATTGGCACATGCGTGTGTTTTAACATTGGCGGAAAGCTTTGAGTTTCTGAAAGAGAATTTCATAAACATCCAATGGAACTTACATAATGTCGAAGCGATTGTTAACGGAATGTTCCTTTTGGAAGGGAAATTGAAACGAACTGGTGGCGGAGCAAGTAAAGTTTCCAATAAAATATCCACGAAACATTCAAAGAAGAAACAAGACGAACAACTTGCAACGCTAGTTCGACTATTCTGTCATGAACTATCACGCATTATATGCGATCGATTAATCGACGCACAAGGTGAAATTTTCAATGAATTTCTCTTCTTTTTGAAAACGATGTTTTCCTCAATTTAGATCGTGTTCGCTTCCAAGAATTTCTCTGTCGAACGATAATTACGAACTTTTGTACAGAATTAGAATTCTATACACTTTCTTCGAATGTTGTACAAATAAACCAAACAACTGATTCATCAGTCGGAGGAAGAAAACAAGTCAAATTCAAAGCCGGTCTCGTCGAAGAACGAACAGCTATCGAATGTCTAGACGGACCTATCATCTCCTTTGGAAAAATCATCGGTATACCGAAATTAAAAGATATTTCTCAAGTACCCGCTGAAGGACTCTTCGAAAAACTAATTCAATCGACATATTTCTCCAAATCTATTCTCGCAATGCATAATGAATTTACTAATGTCAAAGATCCTCATGCAAGTCAATATCAAGAATCGAATGACAATCAAATGAGCACAGCACTTCGTTCGTGTCAGTCGCAATGGGGAAAATCAACACATATGGATTTGGTATTCCTTCCTCGTACTATGCGGCATTTAACAAATCTCGTTCGATTGTTTTCGTTGTCACAGAATGGACATGCGCTACTCCGAGCGAATCAAATCGGCCTAGGTCGTCAAGATCTTGTCCAATTTGCTGCCTTCATTACTGAACAGCAATTTTCTGATGCACATAGTTATGTTCCGACAATCGATGAAAATGAATCGGTGAAACAATGCCTTCGCACAAATTGTCTCTTAGCAGGATTGAAACAAAAGAATATTGTTGTACTTATTCGAGAAAATCTTCTCTCGGATGAGATGGTTAATCAGTTGTATTTATTTACATGTGAAGGATTTTATCCGGGACTATTTTCTAATGAAGAACTTATAAGAATTGCTTCAGCTTTATCACCGAGTTTACCGAGTAATCGTCGAACAACGAAAACAAATTCTGTATTGAAAACATTTTTCGCAAGAATTCGACGAAGACTTCATTTAGTTATCTTAGAAAACGATCAACGTTAGTTTGATTTCGATCTTTTCTTCACGTTTCACTAAGAGAGTCTATCTTTATAGATCTGCGACATTCTGGTTTATTATCATCGTGTTATGTTGAAGAATATCAAAACTGGACAAAAGACGAAATTGTTACAATCGCTAAGTATTGGATGACGAAAATACTGGTATGATTTGAGATAAATGACATAAATGAAGACGATTAATTTTATTTTTAGAATTCAATAAATGCAATTGACTCGACAGCATCGTTTGATTTAGCTTGTCAAGCATTGGCAGATATTCATTTATCTCTAGATCATTTCCGATTGTTTACTTTGAAAAATATCCGCAAAACAATTGAAATTTTCTTTAAATTCTATCAAATAATTCAACTAAAAGAAGCTGTAAGATCAAACGAATTTTACTTTATCCTCATCAAATCGAAAATGCCTTTCTTTCTTAAGCGGCGTCTGTCTCGTTGTGAATCAATGCTTCATCGTACGAACAAATCTAGACAATTGATTGAAATGAACGAACAACTATGTGTTGAACTTCAAAATGAAATTGACCATTTACAAGGAAAATTAGCGGAGTTAGATCATGAACTACAGCTGAAAAAGAAAAATTTCTCTTTAGTAAGTTGAATTGAACTTCCGAACGAAAAGGAAATCAAATTTTCTTAACAGGCAGTGGAAGATTGTCGTGAAGAAGAAAAATTGTTGAATGAAATGCGAACTGCTTTAGAACGATTGAAGAAAGATGTTGAAGCAGCAGTGGAAAATGCCAATCCACAATACGAAAACGCGCTAAATGCATTGAGATTACTAAACAAAGCGGATTATGATGAAATTCGAACATTTCGTCAACCACCACAACCTGTTCTAGCTGTCATGAACACTATTTGTATTATGTTCAATCGAAAACCTGAGTAAGATTAGAGATGAACACCTTTGGATTCTTCAATTGTGATCTATTTCAGATGGAATGAAGCGAAAATCTTAACAGTGAAAGAAGATTTTTTCGATGATTTGGTCTTTTACGATAAAGATAATGTTTCCGACGAAGTCTTTGATATGTTGACAAAGATCGTCAGTTTTGATACTTTTACTCCTACATATGTAGCCACAGCATCAAAAGCAGCATCGAGTCTTTGTGCATGGATTTTGGCTGTTTATGAATATGCGAAAGTTGCCCGAGCACAGAAAGCGCTTCGAGAACAAGTGAAAGCATATGAAAAACTGTATAATAAAGTAAAAAATCTTCGATCAGATTGGACCTAACGGACGAATTCGATGTTTTTAGCGTCAACAAATCCTCGGCGAAAAACGTCTCTATGCTGAGAAGTTAAAAGAAGAACTAGCGGATTTTATTACGAAACGTCGTGAACAGTTCGCAGAATTACAATCGAAAGTGAAACGTTTAAATCATCTTCGGTCGGTGATCGATGCTACGCGTGCGATGTTGCAGTTAATTGATGAAGATATTCAACATTGGCAAAACGAAGTGCAACAAGGAAGACTCAATCAGCAAACTGCAATTACTGATGCACTACAAATTTCACTTTATTTCAGTTATTTATCACAGTTTAATGTTGATCAACGACAGGAGTTTCTATCACAATGGCAAACGAATGTTTTACAACCTTCACTGCCAGTTCGAAGTGATTTTAACCTTCTGAACATGATTTTTAATGAGAAAGGTTAGAAAGTGATGTTCTTTGGAAAAAAAGTCATACCGATTTATGTTTAGAATTCAATGATTATTTATTACAATACGATTCAGTATCGATCAACGACCAAAACGCGATTCTAAATGCAGTTATCCTAGCGAATCAGCTTCACAATACATTTGTCTTATTCGTCAATAATCCAGAAAATGATACTTCGTTATGGCATAATTTATTGCATGACTTTAACGGCGAAGAAGCCAGTTATGGTCAGACAGAAAAGAGAAAATCCCTTCAGACATCGAACTTGTCTTTTTTTCCCTTTAGAAATTCAACTGTATTTAGAATATAAACAGAATAGAATCAGTTTACCTTCAGGAACAAGTAGTGGAATCGCCGCACCTCAAGACCAATCCCAAATCCGCCAACGTATTAGTTCAAGTAAAACGATTGCAACCGAGGTGACAGAGAAATCTTCGATTTGGGACTCTGCAAGTAACTGTTCGCGACCAGGAACAGGGTTTGTTTCATTGGTTTACATTGAACTAAATATCATTCAATGCATTTTAGAACGCGTTTGGCAAAACCAGCAGGAAAATTTTCGTTGAATGACTTTGAACAAAAGAAATATCCAATTAACATTCCGGAATTTTCTCTTGACGAATACGAAAGACCGAAGGATAACATAATTCATTTATCCGGAAAACAGTCCGAAGATTTCGATAAGGATTTGTTAATTGCAATGTTTTTCGGTAATATTGTTATCGTCGATGAATGTGATCTGTTAGATTTAAACCCATTCATCTATCGATTTTTATGTTGGTCATCACGACATGATCAATATACGCCGACATTTCCGAATTTGTTTCGCTTTGGTGATCAAGAAATCTTTATTAATTCATCATTTCGTTTGATTCTTAATTATCATCAAATCGACCGTTCTCGTATGTATCTTTTAACAAAACTTTTCCAAGTTATGAACTTTTGTTTAGAATGGAGAAATCTTTTGTTAAACAACCGACTAATCAACACGAGCTTCGGTTTAAAAAAATTGGAAATTGACTTTTGGCTTCGTCTTATTGAACATCGTTGTCAGAAAGATTTCATTAAACAAGTGCGTTCGAATTATCAAAGACAATTGACTTATCTCAATGAACAATACCAACGACGTGTACGTTTAGTTCAAACTCATGTTTCACTATTCGAAAATCGTTTGTTTTCTTTCAGGAGAATTTGGTTGACATTCTCGAGACAAAGGAAAATTTGACAATCGATTCCAATGAATTATTAGCTGATTTGAAGAAATCTAATGAGAATCGCATTTCGATTGAAACGACACTCAATGAATATCGTATTCAATTTAATGTTCTTTGCACACGAACAGGAGGTGAAGCATATAAAGACATTTCGAAAGAATTAGCGCAATTGTATATCTTATTACGTGATGGGGTTAGCCAATTGAAACTTCCGATACAATGGTTTCTACAAATTTTAACGAAGAATTTGCCACGACGGGTTGAAATCACGAAAAATACAGATTTATCAAATTACAATTCGAATATGATCAATAAAGTGCAAGCAAGAGAAACTTATCTTCGTTGTTTTCAATCAATTTATTCGTATCTGTCATCGGCCATGTGCAAAGATCAACTGGAATATGTTTTGATTTTATTTGCACTTCTCACACAAGATAGATCTCAAGACATTCAGTTATTTCAAACGATAATGACAAAATTCAATCCAGAAACTCAACAAGTTATTCCAGATTTTCTCAATGATGAAAAACGACCATCGTTTGTTGACAGAAATTCATGGGTACTTTGCCTTTCGGATGTGATCAATAGAAAATATCCAAATCTTTCTGAACATTTGATTGATCATCAACATGAATGGAAAGAATATCTTTTCTCGACAAGTAAGCTCGACTTTATGAATAAATCTCCATTTGAACAGACAACGACAATGAATACTATCGATCGATTTCTTCTTTCAATTATTCTATTGCCAAATAAGATTCCCGATTTGATTCATACCTTTTTGATCTATCATTACGGCGGCCAGCTTCATGATAAATCTGTGTCATCGATTGATGATGTTCATCGATTAACAACCGATAAGATTCTTCAACCAACAAATAATCTTATTCTTGTTTGGACAAGCTCATCGGCATTTGTGGACCCTATTGAAGAAATTCACACACTTAGTAATGAAATGGATCAATCAGTTCGACTTGTTTCATCAATTGATGAAAAACGTTTGGAACGAATCATTTGTAATGATAAAGACTCATGGTTAATTATCACTGAACTTCATCTATTCGGCGATAATCTTCAACAAATTCAAGTAAACTTTTCGCAAAAATGATGTATAATATGTAATTCTTTTCTGTATAGAAGTATCTTTTATCACAAAAGAATAAGATCATTTGGCTTCTCTGTGATCCTTCCTATGAAACTCAAATACCTCGTATGTCACTCGATTAGTATAGAACACTATTGTTTTATGTTTTTTTTAGATTGGTTAACTCAACGATGTTTACAAGTTTATCTAACTGATTCAACTCCATCTGCACTTCAACTTCGCTTTCAACAAAAACTTCTGCCAAATAATAAATTTTGCCAACACAAAAAACAAATCGAACAAAATTTAGATATTCACACTTATTTAATCTCGAAACGAGTTTTTGCAAAAAACTGGACAAAGTAAGAACTATATTGGAGTACGCATTCTGAAAACCATACTTTTTATTCATAGTCTAACGGAAATTAATCTGTACATGGACCTAAATCATCACATCAATACTAATCAATCGAATATGATTGATTATACAAATTATATTCAAACTGAAGACGAACAAATTCTGATGAATTACATCCGACAAGTAAATATTCTATTCTGTGTTTAACACTTAAATCGTTCATACGAATTGATGTTTCTAGAGCACCGATCCGTGTACATTGGTTCGACAAATTTCTGATCCAATTCAACTACCAAGTGCGCATCTATTTGTCATCTTTCGACGTTTGTTTGCTGGTATACTTTTATCGAACGAAAGAGTTTCCTCGACGAAAGAAGATCAGATGATTTTTGTCGAATCGATTGTTCGTCATTATTTGGATCGTCTTCGGTCAATCGATTCTCATCAGTCATCACATTCATCTCCAATTGATTTGTTTGTTTCAAACGAATGTGTTCTCATGCGAAAGTTATCGACTGCTTTGTGCCATCGAATGGATCATCTTTTGGAAGTTTTCGCTCGGGTCGAAGCTGCATCACCAGAAACGAAATTATTTATCCATTCAATTTTACACGATTTCGCTATGGCCAACTTTGTTAGAAATTATCAATTAACTTTGGAACATCTCTATAAAATGAATTCGAACGATGTTAATTTGAAGTTCATTCGACGACGAAGACAATTTCTTCAACTTATACGTCGTAAACGCGATGACAATCTTCTCTTTCATGTAAGTTGAATTGGATTCAATAAACTCAAACTTCTGTATCATGTTTTTTAGTTAAAATGTGATCATAAACACGATAGATCGAATGCTTTGACAGTGTCAGGTGTACACTCATCAACGAATATCGATGCAAAAGGTTTAAATATTTCTTTGGATGTGAGTTGCTCTACTGATGCTCCTGTTCTGTCGAGCATTATATTGGATACAAATGCTCCATGCTACCTTCCAGTGATGAATAATGATAAAGAAAATAATTCCGAGCTTATTTTATTGTCGATTGATAAACCTCAAAGTTAAAAGACAATGAAAGAACGAACTTTTTGACGCCTTTATATATTTTCTTGTACTTTTACTTATTTGCCGGTTTTTTTACACAATAAATAACAAGACTTTCAATGAACAAAATTAGTGTATTTATCCAATAGACTGATCGGATCGAATTAAAGATTCATGTGCATTGAGATCTTTGCGCACGAGTATACAATGAAATAACTTTCTTGCGAGCATTTTAGCTGAATTACCTCGATAACTAATTCGATATATTCGTTAAGATCGCATGATTCATAAGTGCCATATAAGACGCCGATAAGAATGAATTCGCTTTGGGTGTGAGAGTTTTCAAGTTGTAAACATACTCATTGAAATCGAATATTTGCAAAATATTTTGTGACATCTTCGGATATTAAATATAAGTCATGTTCTCATGTAGCTATAATACTATTATATATGGAGACTATGCCGTGACACATACTCGATTCAGTCTTGTCTTTGAAAAATACTAACTAATCTGATTTTTCGAAAGCAGCGAGCTTGTATGCAGTTTCGAGTAAATTTATGCATTACAGATCTCTATCCGATTTCCTGTTTCTTTCGAAAATTCTTGCTTTTTTCAATACTATAAGAATTACATTCATTTAACTACTGGACTGAATAGACAACAGTCTTTAATATATTTTTCCTTAGTTAAAAAAGATGATTAACCGAAGACATGAAATACTAAGTTATACATATGTTCATACAACATGCAATGATTTTGTTGTCATTGTCGATTCGTTGATAATACCATCCATATAAGCAAACACTCGCCACAAGATTGCTTTTAATCGATGATAAGGATGAGATCTCATTGCTGTCATGATTTCTATCACGTACACTTGAAGAAATTTTTGTGCTCTTGGATTTACGTGGTGAATACGATGAATTTCTCGGTTTCATTGGTCTAAAGTATATAAAACCAATGGTGAAATCATCAGAAACTGTTCCGATCGACTGAAGAAATAGAAAGAGGTTCCTTCTCAGTTTATCGGTCTCTATGTACGAATTCTCGTCATCTTTACTTTTCTATGCACAACCAAAATCAATGGACCCGTTAAAAATTTGTTCGCAAAGTTCATCACCGTGAAGTTTTAAATTATTTTCGGTATGCTTAACGATTCCACCTAAAAAATGAAAACGTCCTTTCAATTTTCCCAAGCCACATTGCACAAATTAGAAACAAATCGAACAGTGAGCAGCCTCCTGTCATCTCCTTACTCTCTATTCATCAAATCAACAATTCGGACAATGAAATTCTGTCTTACCTGCTATTTTCAAATCACTGATCATATTGCCGAAATGGAAAATCGTTTGACTAAAGCGATCTTCCTTAATGCACAAAAAATAAATTTCGGGCATGGAAAACTGTTCTTACAGCTTGTTATTAAATAAGCGTTGGTCCAATTCATTGCAACTGTGTCTGATAGCTATGAAATAAAGAGGTGAATCACGGTGACAAAAGCTCCAAATCTCATCAAATATTCGTTTGGCGTCGCCGCTCCATGCAGATAAACGCAAGGCGTGCGCAGGCACTGTTAGATTCGAAATAAATGATCCATGAATTGTTTCGGCTGACGATTGTTGACAATTATTATAAGTTGACAATCGGTCAGTAATTTCGAAAAGTTCATCCAGAAGCTTTGAATGAAAAGCAAAGAAAAACGTGACGAAATTGGTCTGGAATTGGCACATTTTTACCTTGAACACGCTTTCTTCATAATCAGGAGACTCTTTATCGAACATTTCGGCGAGGACAAATTTATAATTTGCGTCAGCATAACTGGAGCTTGTCATTTTGATATTAGAAATGAACTGTTTGAAATTGCTGATACCTGGATATGGATTTGTATGTTCCGCATGTATTAAATGTGTTTATAGAATAGATCGATCATTGCTGTCTGTCTATTTCTAACCATTAAAGAGTATATATTTAGAAGCAGCACAAACGCATACATGGCGGCACACGATAATGTGAGCCGATCGGTTCAAGCATAGAGAATGCACTGTGTTTTTCGATTAAATTAGCATTCTGAAGCAAGAAAAACAGTGCAACAACTACAACACTCATCAGACAAGGATTCAAGACATGCATCTTTTTATAGCGAATGTTGCTGGTAGTGAGCCTTGTTTTCATCCCTTTCTAGGAACGAAGATTTAGAATTTTCACTATTGAATTAAACTGATAATTATTATCTCCAGTTTATCCTCATAACTAAAAACATATTTTCACTATATCAACTGCAATTTCCTTGAAACTAAAACAAGTATTTATAAAGATCACCCCAGGTCGATCAATCCCATACGCGGATCCTGTCGGATTTGTTGACCTGGGGAATGCTGGTCAATGAAAATATTCGACACGCTATTATTTTCGTGACTATATAGAAAAGAATCAGTTGTTGGTTGTAAAACACAGGTAGCACTCAACACTATTGGCTGACAAATGGGTACTTAGTTCGTTTCATACATGAAGAACAATTTTGGCCTTGTGTTAATTCTAACGTGTGACACATTGTCATGATTCAACTGAGGATTAGTAATAAGCGCAGTGCCTTATTTGTTTTTCAAAGCGTTTGAGCATGCTCAGCAGTAGAAGAATTCTTTCCGGAAAGGGTCGGCGAATCCGAAGGATGAGCGTTACTTGTCTTATTTCACGCATTTTAAATAGATGATAGAAAAGATACAAGAAAAAAAAGCAAAGTTGTTCTTTATCTTGCAGCGAAATTTTCACGGCCGCATACGATAACAGCGCAGTTATTCAGTAGAATTTGTAATGGCTTTTGAGTTGAATTATGATTCACTTCTTTATCATTTTCATTTATTTCGAGTATAAATAAGGACCCCATCATACATGAGATTATAACATTTACATATACTTTGTATTGCATTAACTTTCAAAAACTTCGTAATAATGTCAGCACCCTCATCGTCTGATAACTCGACGCATCAGCTGGGCGAAGATGGCGCGGGACAGCGGCATTTACTGGGCCAAGACGGTGCCGGACAACGTAAGTTACTTGGTGAAGATGGTGCTGGACAACGCCATTTACTCGGTCAAGATGGCGCGGGACAGCGTCATCTACTCGGCCAAGACGGTGCCGGACAACGTAAGCTACTTGGTGAAGATGGTGCCGGACAACAACAGAAATCCTAAATACATATATGCAGGTTTTCGTTTATTTTGATCGATGTCCTGGAGTTCATCAAAATAAAATATGATTGCTTGAAAAATTACTTTTACTTGATGCAATCTAACGCTGTACATATCGGAACAAAATCTGCTGTAGCTCAGCTTGTTAAAAAATACCTCTGATGCATCTCTGTATGAAGGCTTGTAGGATTCTACTAAGATAATTCCATTCTTTGCCACTATTCGTACGTGTTAGAAGTTTCACCGAGAGGAACGTTATCAAAATTGGTTATTTTATCGGCATGTGTTAAAAATATGCAAATAAACACACAGCTTTCCGAAAGAAAACAAAATCACATACAGCCGGTTTTTATTCAAAGCGAACTTTTTGTCAACTGACTTCCTATGGAAAATCGCTATATACAGATATTTTTGTGTTCATACTCCAAGCGCCTCCTGATATTTATTTTTTTAACGGATTTTGTCAATGTTACAGTGAAAACACGACTAAAAAATGAATTTCGCCAATTATTCAGAGTTTCAGACGTTGTACGTTCCCTCTGTAATAAATAATAAACATATTCTTTAGTTTTATAAAGAATATAAAGGCAAGAGAACAAGCCTCCATGCGAGAACTGAAAGAGGCGCCTTCAATAGGTGTGCTTCGATTAGTTCTATTGTAATTACCATCCTTGCACGATAGTAACCGCGAGATAGGGAAAGAAGCGACAGATATGGGTGGAAAGAATACAAAGAATTGCTTATATATTTCACATGAGATGCCTAGTTGTAATTATAATATAAATGGATCTTCCACAGTCATACATAACTTATAAAATTAATAGATATTTAGTATACGAACAGATTTACTTTTAGATTTAGATTTACTTAAACATACTACCAACGACACAATTAACCGTACGCTTGGGTTTCTATCTAAAATATAAAGCTTGTAGTTAGAAGGAATCTTCTTGAGTATATATGAATAGTACCATAAATACAGATATTTGTAATAGACTGAAAAATCTGGTTAATGGTCAATGTGTTGTACAGTTCATTTTATATATTTTGTGTTTGTTCCCTATCCTTTTTGCTCGACGATTTCATCAAAAATGTATAAACTAACTGAAGAACAACGCTAGTACATCATATATGAGTGGGGAAAAGGCTCCATAAATATCTCAGAAACAACACGTTTTCTCAAATTCCGCCATACTACAATATACGATGTCATTAATTATTATCGTTGTCACCATGATGTTAGTTATTTAGATAGATATAATGCTGGTCGTCCACCTGCACTTGATTCAACGCAAATTAAGCAACTTGATCAAATTATAAAACAAAATCGATCAGGTACTGCTGCTGAATTATTATCACATACGAACTTCAATACCACCGAACGCACAATACAATCTTACCGTTTATCTCTTGGCTATCGTCCTCGTAAGTCTGTTTTTGAAGTTAAGACTAGCAATAAAAATGAACAAAATCGGTATCAATTTGCGGCACAACATTATTTGGCCAATATAAAAAAAAACTTTTTGAAGATGAATGTTATGTGGGGTTAAGAAATACACAACAGATTGTTTGGTGTAAACGAGGAGAATCAACACCCAAGAAAGAAATATCATCTTTACGAGCACATATGAATTATTTAATTGGTTTTATTTGGTGGGATGGTTGTGTTCTATCGATTTGATAATTGGTTAAATAGTAATACATATTGTGATACAGTTAATGAAGCATTATTTGGAAATTTGCGACAATTAAATGGATTTTCATTTATTTCTGATGGATTAAAATGTGTATATTCAAGAAGATTTCTTCTAACTACAAGCTTTATATTTCAGATAAAAGCCCAAGTGTACGGTTAATTTTGTCGTTGGTAGTATGTTTAAGTAAATCTAAATCTAAAACTAAATCTATTTATGTCTGCATTTATGTGTGGTATAGGCATATTTCTGCATTTATATTATAAGTCGAATTAGACAGCTTCTCCTTTCCACTATCCACAAATCTTTGAAAATATTCATCTGCGTGAACCTCATCTACAAGCCACTACTTCGCTTGACCGGATCATCGTTGTCATACATGATAACTTTGCTGAAGAGTTGATGAAAAGAATCCATTCTCTGCCACAAAATATTTGCTATCTACATTCACGCCACGAACATACAATTGTCGACGAACAATGGATTCAACAGTATTACAAAGTAATTCACAATGATATCCTTCAATCAATGTGTCGTTCATTCTTCGGTTTCGACTTAGATAAAAGGTGTTTTCGAGAAGTTTGATCGATCAAATTCAAGTCGATCAGTTTCGACAACGACACAAGCGATGTGATGAACAAGTTTCAATGAGCATCTATGATCAGAGCGGCGATTGTGAAGAGCCAACAACAGGACTTAATGGTCGATTTCTTTACAGTCAACTGATCATCTCGTGTCTTCTTCGAATGAAGAGCACGTCCAATGAGTAAACCCGAGTTCATCTGCAAATACCACGAACAATACAAAGACAATCGAAACTGTCAAAAGATTCTTGATGAATCCGAAAAAGAATATTCATCAGATTATTCCTTGAGATGGTACACAAGAGAAACCTTTCTCTATCGATCATTAAACCGAGCATTACGAGTTCAAGATATTGACACATTGTTTCTCTTTCGTTTCTTCATTCACGATCGCGATAAGCAACTTGGCCGATGGCGACACTCTTCACATGTCCAAGTCTATCGTGGTCAACTGATGTCAACAGAAGAATTGACTGTTTTGAAGAAATCTAAAGGAAAATTCGTTTCAATCAACTCATTCTTTTCCATCAGTTCCAATCGTGATATGGCACTTTCATATCTTGGAAGTCACGATGCTCATCAATTAGTACATCGAATTCTGTTCGAAATCGATGCCGATCCTACTAAAGCTAATGTCAAGCCATTTGTTGATCTATCGAGTATACGTTATTTTCCCGAAGATCATTTTCTCATGGTGATAGGTTCGATCTCCTGTATTCAGAAAGTGTATCTTGATGAGAATCAGATTTGGTTCATTGAGATGATTCTGTGTGGAAACAATGATGGGGATTTACAAGACATGCTTTCTCACATGGATCAGCAATATCATCAAAAGAATATGGGATTGACATGGGAAACTTCGATGATGCAGGAAAATACTTATGTCGATTGTTAAAACAGTTATCATCGGAAAGACGAAAATATCTATAAGTGTTGTCATGCACTTTGTAAGGTATCGTATGAAAAAGGAAATGATCGTATGTGTTTACAACATTTGGAAAAAGCTTTGAAAGTTTTATAAGACAATGAGAGCAAGAGTTCGGCAATCGGTTGCATCTACAACAGTTTGGGAGAAGTCCATAGCAAATTAGGCGATCATTTGCATGCATCAGAATCTTGTCAAACAGCATTGAAAGTATTCTGAGGAAAATTTCAGAAGAATGATGAAAATATTGCATGGTGTTACAACAATATAGGTACAATCTATGCTGACCTTGAAGTCTATCATATTGCTCGTGGTTATCTTTTGTAAACACTTCATATTAAATACAAAATTCTTGCTTCGAAACATGCGTGATTGATGAATACATACAATAATTTGGGTAATGTTCATTATTATTTGAAAGAATATGACCAAGCCCTTGAAAATATCAATTATGTTATGAGATCTTTCGAAAATCTCTTATGTCGAAACATCCTTCGATTGCGAGAGCTCTGAGAAATATTGGAATTGTGTATGAAGCAAAGCGAGGCTATCACAAAGCATTGAAATATTATCGGCAAGCAAGTGCTATTCGAGAAAAGATTATAGTAACAACTCATCCCGATCGGATTGAAATTACATATGATATTTTACGTGTTCTGTCCACGATGCAATAGAAAGAAAACAAAAGAAAATGATTTAAAGATACGCCACGAAGTCACTTTTAATGTTTTAGTTTGAATAGTATTTGTTTGGAATGTGCTTTGTATCCTTCACACTATGCATTGTTAAAGTGAGGATTTTTATTATTTCATCATGAAAATGTTCGAATCATCTCTCTTAAGGAAATTTTTGAAATCCTGGCTTAGCAACGGATTTAGTACATCGGTTGGTACATCCACAAGCTGGTCTGCAACATTTTTCTTCAGCTGCACATTCATTATCTGCGCGACAACCACCAATTTGTCTTGGAAATAATGAAATAGCTGTAGGTGGACAGTAGATAGCACACATTACGGTGTGCATTGGACAAAAGCCTGCAAGAAGTACAAAAGAATGATCGTTTTTTGTGGAAGTCTCAAGATATTTACCAGCATGAGCTTGTTGAAGATCTGGTACTAAACTCAATGCAGTACTGTAGCAGATCAAGACAACGAGTGAGATGAGAGCAAGGAAACGCATTTTTACTAGCGAATATGAAAATATGCGACGAAGGAGGCGTAGTTTATATAATTGTAAAATAACATCTGTGTTGTGTTCTCGTGACTTTTGTATCTGACTGTGATCGTATAATATTTTTTGCCTGTTGATAAGCACTTGTGAAAATAAAGAACGATAATCAAGTCAGGTTTTTTATTGATTTTATCAGGAATACACGATAAATCATTTCTCTTTTATTTGAATTAAAATACTCATTTACAAATTCAAATTTTCAAACTACGATAATGTGTTCGTTGTTTAGCAGAAAGATGTTCAATCGCATAACTTAACATAATACGTGGCATGTGTGCAGCATGCTGATCAAGAAATGTTGTCAGAACTTTCTTACTAATTCGTTTACCGGTTTCACGTAACATCCATCCGACCGCTTTGTGCATCAAAGGTTCACGGTCATGTAGAAGTTGTTTTGCAAGATCGAATGTTGTTGATCCATCTTTTCGTTTGATAAATGCAAACGTAGCAATAATCGCTGCTCGTCTTTCCCACAGTTGAGAACTTGATGCTAAATCATAAAGTAACTGACGGGATTGATCTTGTAGATAATCTCCAAGTAAATGTTCAGCGGACGCATCAATAAGATCCCAATTATTCACTCGACCGCGCTTTAGTGCTTTGACATAAAATGAAGATAATTCACCGCGGAGTTTATCGTCGCGTGTCGATGGTCGACTTGCAGCAAGATATCGATAAACAAGAATGAAGAGAGCAGATTGACGGTGTTCATGGATAGGACTGTTCAAGAGTTGATCGATTTCGATCAGAGATAGTGTAGAGAAGCGTTTTGCTACTAGACGATTGTCAGGAACGCGAACACCAATAAAAACGTCACCATGCGCGTATTCACCTTCACCGCTTTTGAAGAAACGTTGTAGAACAGGAATTCGTTTGGAATCCGCTTGTTCCGCGAGTGCAGCTTTGACGTCTTCCGCTGTTCCTGTACTCATCTGAAATGAATACTTCAATGTATCGACACGATTTGCATCATAAAACATACATTCTCTCTGCGTAATAATCTTTGTATCAAGAGCTTATGATTTTGTAATATCGATCTCTGATGAAAATGTCTTACAAGAATATGTAATTGAAACATAATTTGTAATTTCAAACGACCAAGCAATAGTAGTCAATAGACAAAATATTTTCTTATTTGTATTTGTCTATAGTTGAACCAATGTTAATCCAGAATGCTATGTATACTTAAATTACAACTGTGACTTTCAATAATTATTTTTGCTAACCTTGACTGATCAGAATAAATCGAGTTTTGATTATTATGGAAAGAAAACGACTAGATGTCGTTAGTGGCAGCTTGTGACTGATGTTGTTTTTAATGAATTGATGATTGAATAATTAAGTGTTTCAATGTCTTAATAAACAGTCCACTTGTATACACGCCTTTGAACTAATTTGCTTATAATATAATTAATTTCCATGTATTTTTTTTTACCTTCCCGCGTGATAACAGCATCTATATGTACGTGTGCCTTCTTTTACGGTTGAATACTTCTCTTTCGTACAGACGCGTTTATATCATTTATATTTTCACATCTTTCATTTAGCATCAAACGAAATAGTGAAGTGATTAATAACAGAAGATAAGTTTATCTTAATAACGTTCAATAATGGATACAAGAGCTCACAATTCTACAGTTCGTGTCATGACGTACAATATTCGAATGGATACACCTGAAGATGGAAGTAATCAATGGAGTAATCGGAGAGATCGTGTTTTTCGATTGATTCAACGTTACCACCCGGATCTGTTCGGTGTACAAGAAGCCTTACCTCATCAACTAAGCGATTTACAAAGTGCATTGCCAACATATGAATGGTATGGCGTAGGCCGAGACGATGGAATAAGTAATGGAGAATTCTCTGCCATATTTTATCGTCGAGATATCTTCCATTTACAACGGCAAGGAACATTTTGGTTATCTGAAACACCGGACACTCCCGGTAGCAAAGGATGGGATGCAGCTTTACCGCGTATCTGTACTTGGGTGATACTGCGAGATCGACGATCGGGCCAATCAATCGCTCACTTTAACACACATTTGGATCATGTCGGCAAAACTGCTCGTCGAGAAGGTGCTCGCCTAATTGCATCACGCATTCGGGAGTTGACTGGACTAGCAATGCCAACAATTTTAACAGGTGATTTCAATACAGATCCACAATCGGATGCATACCGTACAATTGTTGCCGAAAGTTCTCTGCAAGATGCCAAACAAATCACAAAAACACCCCATCGTGGACCTGATGGTACATGGTCAACATTCAGTACGTGGCGGCGAATTGGACAACGATTAGATTATATCTTTGTCTCACCACAACATATTCAAGTACTGAATCATCAACATTCGACTTTTTCTGAACAGTTTCGATATCCATCTGATCATTTGCCTGTGATTGCAACTTTAGCTCTTCAAAGACCTACTCCAAAGAGAAGAAAACCAAAAAAACAAATGATGTTTACTGCCGTTCCTCATTTACTTCTTCCTCCTACTTATCATCATCATCGTCACCATTATCATCATCCTCACTCGCATTATCCTCATTCTTCTCAACGTTCTCATTTTTATTTTCCATCACCATCTCATATTTTTGCATATCGAAGTCGTTATTAAACATTTTAAGTACGAGTTATCTTTTAGTATTTCTGCACTACTAATCAATAAATTGTCAGAGTGGCAGCACATTTTTTTCACTTATATTCAAATATAATACTACCATGCTTTGTTTATATAGATTTCAATGAAAAGTCGTTTGAAGATAATAAGAATTATATTGGGGGAAAAAGTCGATAATAAGCCTTTCAGGACCAGTTTATTTCTTAAAATATATTAGTTCATGAAAAACCTTATTGACGTTGTAAAACGTCATTGGTTCTGAAAGGATTTAAGATGAGAAAAAATTTCTTATATGCTATTGTTATTGATTGATACATCATCTTCGATGATTTTATAGTTCCCAAAGAACCATTCTTTCATATCGTGCATCCTCTGATTCATAATTTCTTTCATGCAGTGCAAAACTGTATAGGTTATTTTTCAACCTCGGATATTTTTGTTCGTTGTTTATTCCTCAATGAACTTTTCTTTAGAATCAATTAGTTTTCTAGAGGAGTGGCTCATTTAATTCTTTCACAAGTAATTCTAATACTGTCAGAGTTTTAAGTTCTAATGTACATCGTGGATTCAACGCCAAAGGATATTCCTTATCGAATCTCGACTTTGAGAATGTGGACACATACTCAAATACTCAAAACAAAAAGAAAGCCCCAACTACCATGTATTGATATAATAAAAGAATATTTTACGTAGACGATAGCACAACCGTTTATTTCTGGAGAAAAAATGGAGGCAACATAAAAAAAAAACAAAAGACAACTCTCTATATAGTTGAACACTACAATGCTTAGACAACGAAACCATTCGATCGGATTCGAGTATATTATACCACCAACTAATATACGAGCAATTCCAGTTAGTTCCTATTCCTGATAAGTTTTCAGTGATCTCTGATCTAGTATTGACTTATTCTTTAAATTTTTCTTTTTTTATAGATTAAAAATTTACCTTTATTTTTTTAATGTAGCGATTAGTTAGACGAAAAATTTAAAAAAAAAAAATTTTTTTATAAATAATTTGAAAAAAAGCAATGAAAATCAGATATGAAACCTGAAGAGACCTGTTGGATGCTGTCGGAATTCATCGGATTTAGTAGGGTTTCCGGCAAGATCCCAGATTACTCGTTCTAGGTAGTGACACAATCAAGAAAGAAGAGAAAACAAAGATCATCATGAGTATATCATGATGATCAGTAAGGAAGACATACGTATATCACACGAACGAAAAATGTACAAAAGAAAAACCAAAGATGAAAGAATAAAAATCGAATGATGACATTAATAATAGCTGTCAAGATATCTGTTGCTAAAGTAATTTCGTCCATTACATGGCCATAGCATTCAAAAAATACATTTTAAAAGCTCAGTATTAGGGCTTAGTCTATTAATTACTTTTAAATATTTCAGATGTTCAAAAAAGTCCGAAAAAAAACAAGGGGAAGAAGACTAGACTTTTTTCATACCACCAACTAGAAATGACAAACTGTATATATGAAAGAAGAAAGAGATAGAGAATATTCTATCGTCTTAACAAATGAACAGAAAACGACGACAAGCACTATGCAAAGGTTGGAAGAAAGAAAGACCTGAAACGTGGAGATCACTCCGTAACCGTCAGTGCTGAATAATTCATCATTATATATACAGCCTTATGCGCATTAACTGCTAAATTTTTTATTACTTTCTAAAATGGACACATCTTGATCACATTTTGTATAATTATATATCCAAGTAAAAGTTCGTCTTGTGACAGTTTAATTTTTTTTTTATTGAAATGCTATATGTTGTCTTTGTCTTGAGTAATTTTTTTACTAGTAGTCTACAAGTAAAGATAAATGTCGCATTGTATCTTAAAGCATGTGAATATTTTGAAAACAAATAAACTGCAGGCTGTGTAGGAAGTTTACATACAATCATACTTATTTCAAATATATAAATCTTTTCTACTACAAACATATTTCATACTGTATTGAGACAGATATCGAAAGAAAAAATAAATAGTGAACTTCTATTTTCAAAGTAATGTTCTGTTATTGGTATCATGGCATGCAACGGTTGAAAGATTACATTTCAATATGAGAGTAATCAACGAAATCGTGGACGACATGCAGAATACCTTGCTCTTATACGGTAAGTTGTTGGTGATGACAATGGAAGAAGCAATTGTGAATTTACTGCTATGAGAAATATCAGACATGTCTGGTAACAACAGATAGAACTCATCTATCCCACATACACATAAATGACACTTCAATCTTCAATGCCGATGAACAAATCAATTCTTTTTCCTTCTAGCGTCATTTCACACGTCGAAGATGTTATTGGAACTTGGAAAATGAGTTATCTTTCCTTAATTTTTTAGCACTTACATAATAAATACTTATCAGAACAAGAAAACGAATATTTTTAACCTTTGCCTTTTTTATCTATGGAATTTTGCATGATACATGTTTCTTTTATTTTAGATATTTCGACGCAATTCGCTGCCCATTACTTTTTTCATTTATTTGTTACTGCAGGACAGTCTGTTCTTGGTACGATCATCTCTGTACAACCACGTAGAAATGAAAGAATTTAATATTGGCTCATGAAGTGAATCGCTCGATCGGTGTTTGGCAGAGATGATGTGAAAAAACGATATTTTTTATTTCTGTTATTCATTCAATACTCCGAGAGCAAATACGATGCATTTATTTCTTGGGCTTCATGTATTTCAAATCTAATCACACGTAAGTGGTAAGTAAATATCCATTATATTGAGATTCTGATCACAGTGAATGCTGATGAATACGTTTTGTAAGAAAGAAGCAAAACATAGAAAAGATTGATTTCTTTATGCCTCTTTTCACGTATTTCAGATGGTAAATGGATAATCATCAATTTCGTTCGATACTTTTAAAGCTTCAAGATCGTTTGAGTGATAATGACCGTCAACGTTTACATTTCTTCCTTGGAGACGATATTCCGCGACGAATACGTGATAATCCAACGTTGACGGGTACATTGAGCTTACTTGAATGTCTTTTTGATCAAGACAAAATCAATGACCAAGATTTCTCATTTTTGATTAACGCTTTTAACGAGATACAATGCATTGATGCCGTTAAGCTGCTCGGAGGTAATTATTATCATTGACAGACACAAAANGACCGTCAACGTTTACATTTCTTCCTTGGAGACGATATTCCGCGACGAATACGTGATAATCCAACGTTGACGGGTACATTGAGCTTACTTGAATGTCTTTTTGATCAAGACAAAATCAATGACCAAGATTTCTCATTTTTGATTAACGCTTTTAACGAGATACAATGCATTGATGCCGTTAAGCTGCTCGGAGGTAATTATTATCATTGACAGACACAAAACTAAGTACGATAAGAGCTTATGTGGATGACACAGGAAAAATACGACTAGTACGTTCGGTTACGTGGCACTATTAATCATTTAGATGTCAGAGGCATATTTAGAAGGAGAAAGAGGCCCTATTACGTCGAAAGATGAATAATCTTACTTATGTTTTTGTATCGATATTACTTGATATTTTTTGTTCAGAATACAAGCAGAGAATGAAAACCAGTTCTTGTAATCAGTCAACATTAACATCTATAATGCCTCCGTTAAATGAAGAAGTTATTCATGATCAGGAAGACGGTAGCAGTACTACGTGTAATCGTAAGTTAAATTGATAAAATTGAAATGAAATCCAATGAATAATATTCAATTAGTTTTACAGCAAATCAACACTTACGGAAATTATAACAAAATAATCAATAGTAGCAATACAAACATTAATCCAGTCACAATAAATGTAGATAATCAACAGTTTTTATCGTCAAAATTAGGTCAACATCGTTTGGTACATTTCTCATTGAAAATCAATAAATATTTGTTTTGTATTGTTTTATTGTTAATGATCATTCTTGCGTTATTATTATTCAGCATTTTTATTCTTAAGTTCAAGAGAAATCACTCAACAGATCTTCACGAGCAATATGAACGACTATTAGAAACACACAAAAGCAAAGAGAAAATCATCTCTGAAATACAAACACAATTAAATAAGACAGTTAACTTACTGAACAACGAGAACAGTAAAAGAGCGATTTTGTGTACGACCATTAGGCACCTTTTCATTGTAATTTGTTTAGAAAATTCATTGGTCTTATTCGGTCAAATATTTGGTCATTCAAACGAGAAACCTTTTGACGACTCGTTAACTTTGAATTTTACATCTTTACCTTATTTGAATGGCTTCTGTGCACGAGATAACGATGATGGCTTAGAATCGTATCAGTTCTTCTACTTATCTCCGCTAAATAAAAAACAAATAATCGAATCGAATGTTCATGGAAATCAAACAAAAACTTTCCAAAAAAAATTTCATTTTTCAGAAAAAAACGAAAGAATCATCCAAGTTCAAGGAAGATTGGTAAAGAAAAGCCTGTCTTCATCGAATGGAACAAATCAAACGATTAGTATTATTACTGGATTGGAGTTCATTTCCAACAAAGGTCGCATCAGTCCATTATACAGTGGTGAATTAGGTGAGGAATTCAATGAACAATATGATGGATATACATTAGGATATGTGACAGGCAGATCAGCGCAATATATTGAACAACTGCAATTCATCTGGTATCGAGAAAAAGAAACAAATTCGGATGAAGATTACTTGTAGAACACATTTTTTCACAAATTTCTTTTTATTGTTAACACGAATAAATTTGCATTTGTTGAGAATGAATGGATCGTGTTACATAGTGCAAGCAAATTTGCTTTTCTTACTCGAGATAATAGTAAAATCGCCAGGTTTGATTTCTGTCTTTCAATGGAATCCCACTTATTTTCTGAATTCAATGCAAAGAATTTATTCTTATCTGCGCAGTTTTGTTAATTCCATCTTCGTTCTGCTTATCACTGGACTCTCTTGTTTAACCGTATAAGAAACCTGTTTCTCTTTCGTATTCATTCCATTCTTTATGTTATTGTTTGGCACTAAAGTAATCCAGCACTAGGTGAAAATATCTCATCGAATCGAATGATTCCAAACTTTTCCCTTCATTCAATGACTAATTAAACCAATGATCAATTTTGAAGTAAAGAAAATCTCAGCAGATACATGAACTTTATCCCACATTACAGAAAATGGCAACAAATCAAATAAAAGAGGAACATTTACGTAGCGTTCTCGTGGGAGTCCTTCATCTATTGAGCGAAAAAGATCGACAAAGTTTCCATTTTCTTATTGGAAGAAATGTTCCGCGACCGATCCAAGACGATCCAACCTTTCAAGGAACATTAAATCTTATTGAAACGTTGTTCGACCGAAATAAAATCAGCGTTAATGACATCTATTTTCTTATCGATGCTTTTAGAAAAATCGGCTGCCATGCGATTGCAAAGGTTTTACAAGGTAAAACCTTTTCTTCGTCATTAAGATTGAGTCTTAACGATTTTGTCACATTTTAGATTACCAAAATCAAATTCAATCGAATTCAGGATCATCTGAAAATCGACGATTGATTGATGATCTAGATTTAGAATCAGATGCGCCGACTGTACTACTACATGATTGTGAGAAAATTCCTACGATAATAATGAAATTATCGGTAGACGTCTTTTTCATTCGTTTAGATCGGAAAAAACATATAGAATTATCGTCATCATCGAAAAGTACAATTTATTTCATTATCGTTTTATTGACTTTAATGGGATCAGTTATAATTGTGTTTATTTTCGTTAACAGAAGTGTTCCGATAAACGTCGCGACAAACCATACAGAAAGAATGGATTGCTCGATGTTGCCAAGAAACGACAACGAGATCCCTATAGGAGCAATGAGTCTTTCGATTGAAGATAGACCATTGTTTATCGTGGGAAAGAAGTTCGGTGAATCAAATGCAACAAAATTCGATGATTCTTTACGTTGGAATGTTAACTCTTTGCCTTATTTCTACGGATTCTGTCCACGAGTTGATTCAGAGGGTTTAGAATCATACCAATTCTTCTACGCATCGTCACAGAATCAACAACCTAAGATCAAATCAGATGTTCATGGAACTCAGCCGAAAAATTCCAGATCTGATTTTGATTTTTCGGAAAAAAACGACAGAGTCATCCAAGTGCAAGGAAGATTGGTAAAGAAAAGCATGCTTTCACCGAGTGGAATAAATCAAACGATCAATATTATTACTGAATTGGAGTTCATTTCCAAGACAGGTCGCGTCAGTCCATTACACATTATATCAGTGCAGAAAGAATTGAGTGAAAAATTTAGCGAAGAATACGAGGGATATGTATTAGGATATGTGACAGGCAGATCAGCGGAATATGTTGAACAAATACAATTCGTTTGGTACCGATCCATAGAATTAGAATCCAACGAAGATTAACTTTCGAAGTCTTCTTTGTATACTATTTCAGTTGTATATATACAAATTAATAAATAAATCTATGGTGATATTTATTTTCATATAGTTATTGTTCATTGAAATATATCAAAAGGGATTGAATATTTTTATTTATTCTCATACAAGTGCCTCGTTATCTTATCATTGAATATGACAGGTTCCGTCTGCTACGTGTCTGTTTTTGACTTTTCGACCATCTTCTTTTCTTCAATCACGTCTCGACCAATTATCTTCTGCATAAAAATGTTCACACCCACACCCTCGTCCTGGTTCTATTCGGAAATATCTGTGGATGAAACAAAGAGAAAAGTTATTGTGGAGGGCTAATACGAAAAATAAATTTTAAAAGCGGTAGAATCAATATCGAAGTGGGTTTAAACGCAGCATTCAAAAACAAGTGATGAGAATGATAAATTGATGTTTTTCGGCGGTGCTGTTCTACATCAAACAAATGTCACTCGAACCAGATCCGTTAACTGCAGGTGTCACAGTATGATTAATCGTTAATTCCTAGTGAATTCTCTTGTATCTAGCAATTGTCGGCTAGGGCAATTCATTATGCTCAACAACAGGTGCACGCGTTTGTAAATAATATCCCAAAGAAGGCGAATGTTCAATCAATATACATCGCTGGCATGGCAGAAATGATTGCAGAACTATTAGATTATTATCGAGAGAAAAAATAAGTATTTTACCAACAAAAACTATCTTTTACAGAGATGGTAATAGTTTTATTCTTGAAAAAAAATTCGTTTACGAAACGAACTTTTTCTCTTAGAAACGAATGATGAGCAATTTTGGAAAGTACTTGAATATGAAACATCAGCGATCTGTCGAGTATTTTTCAGTTATTTTAACAATTGAATATCTCATTCATATCGAAAATAAATACATATCGATTTTTAGAAATCTACGATGACAAACGAAATCATCATCATCTTAGTTTTATCCTTGTCAATCATCGACACAATACACGATTCTTTACCTACAAATCGAATATCTACGGAGAAACCATCGGACATAATGCTCCACGAAATGAAACAAGTAATACGTCAATTGGTTGCGTTATTGATACGACACTTGTTCATCCAAACGGACTTGATTTTTATTTGAATTCCCATAATGCTGGTCGTGGCGTCAACAATCCATCATTTTACGGTGTCATTTTGAATGAGAATGGTTACACAGAAAGCGAATTGAAAGTATTAACATATTATCTATGTTATACAGATCCTCGTTCATCATCATCAGAAGCAACTTTATCTGTAGTTCATCAAGTAAATATAGCCGCATTGAATGATCAAGATCTGTTTGATAATTCTATCGAGTAAGATTTAAGGAATGAATCGAGAAACACTTTTCAGTTCAAATGTATTTTAGTTCATCGGAAATAAATCGTCATCGACAAATTCAATCATTACAAAATGCCATTGTCGCTAATTTAGATTATGAAATTCTTCAAGTCCATCCAGATCTTCGTAATCGATCTGGTCTTGCCTAAATTATTTCTTTTGAACCAGAACACTAATTTATTCATCTTTTTCCTCCGCAAAATATTTATTTTTAACCTTCTAGAAATAAAATAACATATGAGCTAATTGCAAGTTTTTTGTAACGTTGTAATTTTGCTACTAAACATGAATTATGTCCAATATAAATTAAACAGACTTTTATGATTTTTTTCACGATATGTTTTACCAACTATTGACCTGCACTTCACAAAAAATCACTTAGCTATCATGCATTCATCCTGAGATATCGGCTAGACTAGGTGAAATATGCTAGTTTTTAATGCCATCTATTAGGGAGAAAGCCGTGTGGCTACTTGGCTATTAGTCATCCGAAGTTTGACAGTTGTTAATATTTCTTAAGTTATGTATATATAGTTTGAATATAATAATCACTCGCTTGTTTGATGTTCTTTTATCCGCGATTTTGTTAAACCTTCCGACTACAGACACTTCTCAGTTTTTCTGTCACGCGAAATTGAATTCGATATTGCAGCGCAACGACTCTTTCGAAACCGACCGGGGCGGTCTCAAATGAGAGCTCACTAGTCCTATATTGAAATGCTAGGGACGGTGAGAGAACTGTCTAATTACTTATTGAGGATGAATGGATAGTCCAATTTGAAAACCCTATTCTCAGACACTTTGTCACGCGAGATTTTCGAATTTGCTCAGCTTACAAAAGCCACTATACTTCATGGAGTTTCGACGAAACTTTGCCAGTTTTAGTCACCTGTTGTGGTCAACTACGGGTCAAAATCTCAGAGTCAGAAGTCTCATATATTGTTTAAAAAAAGACGAAACACTACAGAAATGTCACGCGAGATTTCCATGAGAAATGTGTCACGCGAGATTGACTTCCATGTAAACTCCTCATATATAGGAGTAAAATGAATAAGTTTAGTATTAAACATTGTCGCATGGAAAGATTTACTTTGGTTGACTTGCGGTGTAGACAGAAAAAACTCGGTTTCTCTCGTACTGAAGAGATTTGCTATGAGAAATATGAGATCATAAACGCTTTTAGACCCGTTTAACCCAGAGTTCTTAGTATAAGTGTGACTATAATGTGTATCACTGCACATACAATCGTCCTTTCATGTGTAACGGCAAGAAGTTCTCTCAATTTTGAGAAAAATAGAGAAGAAGAACATATAAGGCAAAAGCTTGGTTCGGACGATTTTCACGTATTTGAGAAACTCTTGTATTTCGGCTATTTTAAGTACAACTGTTGGGAAACTTTATGCATATTGTCATCTCACTTACCCAGGTCGAACAATCCCATACTCGGATCCCACGTCGGATCCGAAACATGGATTTCCTGGATTTTCTAAGGGTCATCATAGAATATAGCTAGAAAGATCGCTCATAAAATTTGCAACAACCGACGGGATTTTTCTAGTCGGATTCCAATGCAATTCCGTTTCCAGGAATCCGGTCGGATTTTGTCAGATGGTCGGATCCGGTAAGATCCGATCGGATCCAGCATCGGATTTGTTGACCTGGGTAGTACTGTACGACACACTATCCGTCGTATTGAAACTTGAAAAATTTTGTTTTCAATTTTTTTCTGTCAAACGTTACAAAAAACTTGCAATTAGCTCATATATTCATTTCTTAGAGCGTAATTGAAATTTTCTGTTAATCATTGTTTTTATAATCTGCCTTCTCTTTATCTACTCGCTGCAAATATCGATGGTAGATATACGTCAATCTCTAAATATTCCTTGAATGATGTTCAATTTCTTGTAAATTTAGATGTGATATGGCATTAGAAAAGTTACTTTCATCAGATAGACAATACATTCAAATTGGCTTTTCAAGTTTACCGACAGTCTTATTGGTGCTCTTTTGTAGCAATGTGAATTGTTTGAGTACTGGTTATGAGTGGCTTGCTTCTTCCTTCATTTGGTACAAATATTACGTTTGTCAGTTTTACAACACTTGTCATCAGAAAGAAATTGAAAGTTTTTCCACTGAAAATTTGAATGATTCTATGCAGATGGCGCCTTAGATAATTATTTGTTGTTTACACATTGCATCATGCTTGTCTTTATTGGTTCAGTTGACTTTGCGAAGACGCTATCGAAATTTGTGAAAGCTTAGAAATGGCTAGTCTTGATTTGATCGAGAATAGAAATCATTGAAAATACAATGTGAGGATAATGAGTGAAATTGAAGAAGATTTTTCTTTTATCGTAAGCTGTCATTCTCGATATTTGTGCATGTGCATAGTGCTCATTTTTGGTCTCTTTTCGACATTGATAAGGAGAACTAAGTGTATGTGATTCTCTTGTATTTTAGACCTTTGATTACATCGACAGTTTGCTTCTACGAAAAATCTACGAATGGACAATTGGTTTGAGCGCATTGCTGAGATTTGTAAGAAAATGCTCAAGCCCATTGTATTAGTGGGTTTAGCCGTCATCTGTCTTGTCGCTGTTGTTGCATTATGTACTACTCGCAATCCAGTCGACATTGACAGAACACAAACTCATTCAAGTGTAGAAGAATCATCCGAGATCAGTGACAATAACATTCCAACAATAGCAAATTATAGAGCTCTCGCTGAAGCCCTGAAAACGTCATCGTCTAAGCAAAATATATTAAACTTATCGAAAGATATCTGTTCAGCATTTGAAGCTCTGTCAACAGACAAGACAAACTCAAGTTGGAAAGACGATTTAAACACAATTTCAAAGGTCTTTAGCGATTTCTTTAGTGAACTGAAAGAGGCAAAGAAGATTATCGAAATTATGCCAATCAAGATTGAACATCCACGCTTCATTCAATCTCATCGTAATGCTGAATCTCATAATAATTACTATTACGCTGAAGACGAATCTACGAAACATACAATTTGGCTTGAAGGATCCATTGCTTTGCTACCTAAGCCAGACCAAAGCAAGGTTCGGAATAGAATACCTGGGGATTGGGTGATCTTTAATTACTATGATAAGAAGAAAATACCGATACGGTTTTTTTATACTATTAGTAACAATGATATGCAGTTATGGTATGAGCAGTTTGTGAAAATGTGCAACAGTATAATTCTCAAATCAATAGATAACACAAAGTAATTTGGTTAGAATTTTCCATTTTAAATTAAATTTTCTTGTCTTTACTCCTTTTTTTTCTTCGTCATGATGTTTTTTTCCAACTATTTTGATACAAAACCACATCCTTGAAGATTTTCCATAACCTATTAGACAAATATTATACAAATGTCATATACATATAATGTGGATCAAATACTTCAAACAGATATAGTATACAACTAATTGTACGTGCTTTCGCCCAGATGTGATTAAATAGCGGTTTTTTTTTCGTCATGATGTTTGTTTTCTCATTAACACTTTATTTCTCACAAGAACAATATATTGTTTGCTACTTTCTTTTTCGTTTATTTTTTTTCTTTCTCTATTGTACCTTTAAGGTGATGGGTCATAATCCTCTTCTTTTTGTGTTGCTAAATGAAACAGTACTCGTTTGTCGAATAAAATAAGAATATGATTCTCCTTTGCAACACATATTTCATCGGTGTGAAGCTAACCCTCCCCCCCCCCCCTTTAAAAAAAGTACAAAAGGCCTATTAGAAGCCTAGGGGCTTCTATAAAATCCAAGATTTTAAAGTTCTGAAAAACTCACTTTTCACCGAATTTTTACAAATTATGAAGAAATATTCATCGTCAAACGGATATTGTAAAATCCGTGTATATTTTATCTTACTTTTTACTACTATTGATCATGTGTTATCTGTGAAGTTAAATTGAAAACAAAATTTTAGCAGTTAATTCGATGAAATAAGGTATACATAACAGAACAATGCTTTGATTTTATTAAAGAACGAAAATACTGTCATTAAGATCAATCGTCGGCAAATTCACATGTTTCATATTGTAACATTTTCAGGAGAGGAATGTAATGAATGAATAGGCTGTATATACAAATATTTCCCGACGGCGTCGGTCATTTATGATTAAATTGTTGAATCTTTTTTCGAATCACTTCTCTCACTGATTACATACCTATAATGGATGATTATCTTGCGCCTATACCACATCTAAATACTGAATCGTTTTCTGAGGAATCTAGTTCCGATGATGATTCATGTGTTGAAATTACATCTAATATCGATGAAAATGAAAAAGAATTAATTAAATGGAGTAACTATTTGCAAATTGATTCGAACGACGACGACGACAGCGATGAAAACTATTCTTCTGACCAGCCTACACAACTAGTTAATTATTCAACATCAGGATCGTCTTATGATGAAGAAAATGCAGTATACGCACCATCTTTGAATGGTAATATTTCTAATTCTACATCGACGTCAACTAAAAAGAAAAAACGCACAAGGCCAATGGACTATACAGAAAAAAATTAAAAGTAATCGCTACCTTCGAGAAAAACAACAGCATACATGCAACTGCTCGACAAGAAGAGTGTGACAGAAAACAGATGAATTAGTAAAGATGTCATTGGAAAAGAAAGGTGAGTAAAACACTCGTTACGTACTAAAAACTGAATTTCAAACCTTTTTTTAGGTAAAAAACGTATGCGCTTACATGGTGGCGGTAAGAAGTTAACTTACGTGGATCTGGATGTTCGCTTACTTGCTTGGTATCGCGAAAAACGTACTGCACCTGGCTCAACAACAGCTGCTGCTCATATTCATAAAGAAAGAGTAACGTTTCGTCAACTTCAACGTCGTGGTCAACAAATCAACATTGAATTGAATCATCAATGTCCATCAGCAAAGTGGTTTGGCCGATTTCCCGTTCGACATCGTCTTTCGCTTCAACGTCCGAAGAGACAGCAAAAAATTCCACTCAACGAAATTCACCAAAAAGCAACATCATTCTATACTTTTCTTCGTCGGGCAAGTCGATGGGCTCTAAAACGTGGACAAATGGGAGCTTTTACTTTTAGAGACATATTTAATATGGATGAATCACCTCTGGCCTTATTTGGTGATCAGTCAAAACGATCAATCAACGATATAAATACTTGTAACGAAGTAGAAGGATGTTTAAGTAACAAAGTAAGTCAATTTAATTCTACTATTTATTTTAATTTAATTCGTTCATTTAGAGATTTTGTACAGTTATTCTTACAGTTTCTGGAGAAGATCAACGTGTTGATCCGATTTTATTATTTAAAGGAAAAGGTCACGTTTCTGCTATTGAACAACAACAATACGCTGATGGGATCAAAGTTTGTTTTATTCCTGAAGGAGTTATCAATACTGTTACAATGAACAAATACAATGAATGGTTTGTTTCAAAAGTAAGTTAAAGTCTTAACTCATTCTTCTGATTCAAAAATGTTGTTTGAATATTGCTAGGTTCAAGACGGGCATCCGAAGATGCTGATTGTTGATTCAGCTGGTTCTCATTTAAATCCTGAAACTATTCGTAGTCTTCGAAAGAAAAGCGTGGTGGTTGCTGTTATACCGACTGGATGCACGATGTATCTTCAAGCTTTAGATGTATCTATCTTTTCAATATTTAAAAACCATTATACAGATGCAGCAGATGAATTTATCGAAAGAAATGGGCCCAGAAGTAAACTTAAACTTACCGCTTCACATTCCAGAATTCTTTGTACACGTTCGACGAAAGAAGCATAGTGGCGTACGCGATCAAGTATTAATTTTAAAGAAGAATTTACAAATATTGGTTACATATGGAAAGATAATACGCCAGTAATGCCACGAACTCTTCCAAATTATACATTCGATCCCGATAAAGTGAATTCGCAACTAACTTCTATTGATCAAACTGATAATGATGATGAAGAACGACAGATTGAAATTCAAGCGAAGTTAGCTAATGAACATGACAAAACACTTCTTAATCAACAAAATAAACAGCTGAAGTTGAACCATTTTTGGAAAATGTAATTGATTCAGGTGAATTTCTTTGAAAATTACTTCTCATGCTTCTTTTTGTACATATAATGAAATCTAATACAATTGAGCTTGAATTTAAAATAAAGAATGAAAACAATTTAAACACTGTCTTTATGATTTTTTCCAAAAATTTTACACTGAAGTCATATTAAAAGCCCTCCCCTAATAGAAGCCCCCTTTAAAAAATATTCACGATTGGCAATTTAGAAGCCCCCGGGGGCTTTTATTATGGGGAGGGGTTTATCACGAACAAACGATATGTCAGCTAAAACTTTTTTTACTAAGTATCTTCCGTCCATGAAAACTACACCATTCGACTCAGAATTAAATTCTGCATCGAATACGCTCGGTTTTATCGACCGGAATTCGTTTTCAGAAAATCCTTAGCTGAGGGTGCTAGCTCGATGGTGCTAGCTTCACACCGATGTGAAAGAATTTGTAGTAGGGGAAGATTATGAATATTTTTAAATCAACAGCACAGTGAAGAAATACGATCTCGTTTGACTTTGACCAGGAAGAAAATGGATCCGAGGGCGAATAGCTGAAAGACTCGTGTAATATTGAAATAAATGTTCGATTAACGCGAAATAAGTCCCGCGTTCGAGCGATCTCAAACAGGATCGATCTTTTTCAATGGTCGAATGAATTAAAATGATAAAATCGTTGATGATCATCTCACGCCTCCTATAATAATAACAACAGATTTCCTCTTCAGGAATAAAACGAAAGAGGAAAAAAGATTTTACTTCACAACAGAGTTGGACAAAGGACTAGATAGAATGTTAAAACGTTGTCTTGTGTTCATCTCTGATTAGGACGAATATGAGCAACCAGCGACGTAATCAGGGTTTCCAGACCAATGGGGCTATTTGGACAACAAGATCTTCTCTAAAAGAACTGCTTCGTCGTCTTTCTTTTTCATCAACTATAGTATCTTGCTTAAATCATCCGAAGAGGTTCTCATCGATGAGACCGTGGAATTGTTTTTGTCCTTTGATCAAACGACAGAGCTTGCACAACTAAAACGCGCTGATATAAAACCAGAGCTATGTCTTTTCTGTTTCATCGTTTTACTGAAATCTAGACTCATCCAATTAACTCCAAGATATTATATACGATTGTCCATTTGCTCTTTTTCTATACGTCTGCTAAGAAAGAATCAAGTTGAAAAGATCGACTGTGATCTTTCTCTCTTATTTAAGCGGCTATCACTTTCTCTTTCCGATCAATTTCGATCGACGAACATACGCAACAACACTTGTTGACTTCATGGTAAGCACGTTTAACGCGTTCTTCGATTGCGCTGATCAGATTTTTTCACTCTGTGTTCATATCAACATCTTCGAGGTCATTCTTTTTCTCCTTTGTAACCTCGATGAACAATCATTCTCTTTCTACTGATGAAACATAGACAAGAAACAGCCTGATATATACGGGAGATATTAATCATTTCGGTCTGACCTANCATACGCAACAACACTTGTTGACTTCATGGTAAGCACGTTTAACGCGTTCTTCGATTGCGCTGATCAGATTTTTTCACTCTGTGTTCATATCAACATCTTCGAGGTCATTCTTTTTCTCCTTTGTAACCTCGATGAACAATCATTCTCTTTCTACTGATGAAACATAGACAAGAAACAGCCTGATATATACGGGAGATATTAATCATTTCGGTCTGACCTAAGCAATTTAAGACATGGCAACCATTGATGTGCGTAAGAATAGAAATACCTTGATCTATTTTCAAACGAAAGAAACTTGTTTATTTTTGCTGTGAAGATGAACGAATTGTTATCTCTTTTTTTCAATCTTTTTCGTAGGCTAATACAAACCTGAGCATCATCCCAGGTCAACAAATCCGACGAAATTGCATCGGATTCCGACTGGAAAAATCCAGTCATTTGTTGTAAATTTTATGAGCGTTATTTTTAGCTAGGTTCTGTGATGACCCTTAGAAAATCCATAAAATCCGTGTTTCGGATCCGACGCAATCCGACATGGGATCCGATAAGAGCCGACAGAAACCGATATAGGATCCGAGTATGGGATTTGTCCACGTGGGATCTTCTATTAGTGGTTCTTCGTTTTAGACAATCGATGAAATGTCAAAATTGATTTTAAACCGTTATAGTGTAGAACCCGAAGCACAAATACCCACCATCGGTGACTTCGTCGATGCTATGATGAGCGTAAACTATTCTTTTGTGTGATCTACGTCTCTCATTATGATTTTGTTTTGGAAAGACATTTAACAAAAATCATGGACGAAAACTGATTTTTTTCAGCATCTATTGTGAAACACTATCGCTTGTTTTTCGTCTCCAACCACAAGAAAAGAAATGATCAAATAAAAGAAAACGAACAATTCATTCGAGTATCATAGCAGAAGTAGAATCGATTGTAGACAGGCCAAGTGTTTTGCAAGAGGCCATAGCATCAGTTTAATTTGATTCCATCAGATGTGACTTTCATAGAGGAAAGTCTAACGATAAAAATTCTCTGCAACAGAAGAATTGTAAAATTAGTGCATGCATCTACATCAACTTTTGTCTGCCAAAAACATAAATGGTGCAAAAACTTAGAAAATTTGATGCCACGGAAAAGAAATCCCTAACTTTCTGCTTTTTTCAGATTATTGGAGAAAAGTTTATTTTTTTAAAAGCAAAACAAAAGACAGGGATATCAACGACTTCCGTGTCAAATCTGAATATGTATTCTACTATTAAACTCTTGCCAAAGATTGGCTACGTTTATAGATGAACTCTTTCAGCATTTTACATAATGATGGCGCCAGAGGGGGTTGAGTGCCCCCGCTCTCACACTTAAAATCCTGGCGCGTCTCCGCTAATTTTATACTCTGAATCCCATCCTCAAGATGACTGCAAAGAGCGCCATCTGTAGATGTCAAAAATATGATTGGTGCCCGTAAAGTATTTGAATGGCTGTATCAAAATAATAGTCAGTTGACTGAACGAGTGAACGAACGAACAAGTGGGAGTAGACGATGAACAAACATTCAATCGGACAAAAAACAGTTGTATCATAAAAATGCGATCATCTGGACCAACATGCTCGAGATTGGCCTAAGAGTGGTAAGAATATATATATTCATATTTTTGTCTTCTGTGAAGCTAATTAATGAACGATTCAATTTCTCTTTTTCGAAAAAGGTCCGTGGTCCCGATTGGAAATGGGCTCAACAAGATGATGGTGAAGGTCATGTTGGTACAGTTGTTGAACTAGGTAAACCAGGAAGTAACACATCTCCCGACAAAACTGTTGTTGTTCAATGGGACTCAGGATCTCGAACAAAGTAAGAAACTAATTAATTTGTCGTTAAATAAATCAAGTTACTTTAGTTATCGTGTTGGATATCAATCCGCTTATGATCTACGTGTTTATGATAATGCACCAGTTGGAGTTCGACATCCAAATGTCATTTGCGATGCTTGTCGGAAACATGGAATTGTTGGCATGAGATGGAAATGTGCTCGATGTTTTGATTTCGATCTTTGTACACATTGTTATATGGCTTTAGACAAACATGATCTTACCCATCCATTTCTTCGCTTCGAAACAGCTACGAATACACAAGTAAATATTGACGAACAACGAAATTGTTTAACAAAAGATTTGATGAATGCTCGTTCTTTTTAAAGGGCGTGAAAGTTCCACCTCGAAGTCAAAGTCTTGAATCACGTTTAATTGCTAAAGGTATATTCAAAGGTGCTGTTGTCGTACGTGGTGCTGATTGGGATTGGGGTGATCAAGATGGTGGGCCAGGTGGTCAAGGAAAAGTTCAAGAAATTAAAGGTTGGGAAAATGAATCTGGACGAAGTGTAGCAGCTGTTGCTTGGTTACATAATCCACATGTAGCGAATGTTTATCGTGTTGGACACAAAGGAAAAGTCGATTTAAAATANTTAATTGCTAAAGGTATATTCAAAGGTGCTATTGTCGTACGTGGTGCTGATTGGGATTGGGGTGATCAAGATGGTGGGCCAGGTGGTCAAGGAAAAGTTCAAGAAATTAAAGGTTGGGAAAATGAATCTGGACGAAGTGTAGCAGCTGTTGCTTGGTTACATAATCCGCATGTAGCGAATGTTTATCGTGTTGGACACAAAGGAAAAGTCGATTTAAAATATGTACAAGAAGCCAAAAATGGTCAATATTATAAAACGCATTTACCTGTCCTTGGTGAACATATCGAACGTCTTGTGCCACCGCTTGAGCTTTCACAGTTTTCCGTTGGCGATAAAGTTCGTGTTATGTCTGATATTGATCTAGTTAAACAACTGCAAGAAGGTCACGGCGGATGGAACATACGTATGGCGGATGTTTTAAGCAAGGAAGGACATGTTCATCGTGTTACGGAACGTGGTGATGTTCGTGTACAATTTCACTTAAATGATGAAAATAATCAAGAACAATCGTCATCATCAATAGCTCAACAAAATCGTTGGACATTTCATCCGGGCGCATTGAGTAAAATACATTCTTTCGCTACTGGTGATCAAGTTCTTATTTGTGCCGATGAACAACGTTTACGACAAGCACAAAAAGGACATGGAGAATGGTCACACGATATGATCGGTGTATTGGGAAAGCAGGGAAGGGTTTTACAAGTTTATGGTGATGGAGATATCCGTGTCAGCGTTAATGGTCAATCATTTACATTTAATCCACAATGTTGTGTGCCATTGACAACAACAGCAACACCATCAGCAGCAGCTAGTTTACTTAATTCTACAAGTCATAATACACTTCAGGCCTATCAAGCTCAACAACAAATGGAATACGCTTCAAGCGTCGATTGGAGTTTACACGGTGGTTCATCCATCGGTGGTGGAACAACAAATTCATCGTCTTGTAAACAAATGTTAATCTATAATACGCTTTTGGGACATAACGATGCGTTATCATCATCAGCCATTGTTCGAGATGCAGCTCAAGGAAAACTTCAAGCTGTTCGAGATGCATTAAACAAGAATCCACAATTAGTAGGATCATATTCAAATATATTCTCTTATTAACCTTTCTAATTTTCCTAGGTTGAAAGTCGATCTGGTGACAAATCTGCATTAATGTTAGCAGCACATCAAGGCCATATAGATATTGTTCGCATTCTTCTCTCCCATGGAGCTAATTTAGAACAGCGTGATGCTGATGGTGACACTGCACTTCACTATGCGTGTTTTGGTAATCAACCCGATTGTATATCGTTATTATTATCAAAAGGTGCAGACATCAATTCAATTAACTCCACGGGGTGTTCCTCACTACATATTGTAATTAATAAACAATTGTTAGAGTGTACAAAAAGATTGCTAAGCAATCAACAACCAGCCATCGATGTTAACTTACAAGACATTTACGGAGATACTGCATTACATGATATTGGTAAAAATCGATTACTTAAGGATATGATTAAAAAATGTCTGTTTGTTTTTTTAGCAAATACTCGTGTTTTCGGCCATTTTGCTGGTCTTGATGAATTGTCTTCATGTGGGACTCATTCGAGCATTCTTAATCTAATCAAAGAATTAGAAGAAACGCGCCACCAAACAGGTCTTCTTCCATCCGAAGGAACATCGCCTGATCGGTAAATGAAACCATTTCAAAGATTATTCATCTAAATGATCTTGTTTTGCACAAATATTTCAGTTCCAACAACGAATGCGTCGATGGACGAGAACTAATCGATCTTCTGCTTTCCGTACCAAATATAAATTTCAATTTAAAAAATAAACGCGGATTTAATGTTCTTCATCATGCTGCACTCAAAGGAAACGCTTAGTATGAATACTATTCTTCATTGGCACACGTCTATTCTTCTTTTCTAGTGTGACATGCCGATTAATCGAATTATGTCGACAGTTAGTCGATTCGAAGAAAGATGATGGTTTCTCTTCGCTTCATTTAGCTTGTTTAAATGGCCATTTATTAGTTACTTGTTTACTATTACGTTGTGGACACGCGACAGTTGAGATTTGTAACAGTCGAAAACAAACTCCACTTCATTTAGCCGTTGCCCAAGGACATTCATCCATTGTTATTCTCTTAGTACGTGATCATCGGGCGTCAACCAAAGTTCTCGATGAAGATGGTGATACACCGCTGCATTTAATTCTTTCAAAGACTCAACAGTCTGACGATTCCTGTTTAACATTATTAGGATCGGATTTGATTCCACAGATGCCTGTTGATTATCGTCAAATACCAAATATTGTTTTAGCTGCATTTCTAATCAAATGCGATGCACCGTTATTGGTTAAAAACCGTCAGAATAAACTACCTCTAGATTATGTCAGTGATCAAAAATTGAAAGAATATTTTATTTTATTGAATCGCTCAGCAATTATTAAGCAAGTTATGCCGAATACATCAGCATTATCACCGTGTATTATATGCGATGAATGTCCCGCGGATATTTTGTTTGAACCATGTAAACACAAAATATCTTGTAAAGAATGCTGTGTTAAAATGAAACGATGTGTTTTGTGTCAATTAAATATTGATGCTAAATATACACACGGTAAGAATCTCATCTCATTCTGAGAAGATCGACTTCCGTAAGGAAATATTTCATGTCATCAAATAGTAGAAAAGAAATCATTAAGTGTTATCAGGAGGAGATTCGCGCGTACTTGAATATGGTATCCTGTAAAGTTCAAGATTTGAATTGAGAATATCAGTTAACCAATCATATCGTTGTTTATTTAGATGGTCAGTTGATCAGTAGTCCTTTGGTAGGTGCTACTCGACATACACATCGATTACCATCAACAACTGCGGGTAATATAAATTCTGATGGAGAAATTATCAACAAAGTCGTACGTGACCTTGAAACGAAAGTTCAAGAATTAGAAGATGGACAATCATGTTCAATTTGTATGGAACGAGCACGAAATGTCGCTTTTCTATGTGGTCATACTGCTTGTTCAAATTGTGCTCATCCATTGAAAACTTGCCATATCTGTCGAAAGCCAATTACGAAAAAAATTAATCTTTATTCTTAAGAAATATTTTATCCTTCAGTGTCTCTCACTGTTGTTTTCTTTTCCTCTAGTAACAAAAGAGAATATTTGTCATTTATTACAATAAATATTTTCAAAATTTTCGAGAAATTCTAGCTATTCTACTCTATATCAAGCTGAATAGTGAAATTCAGTCTCTAATGCGAGAATGACGCAGACAATATGTTCAAGACCAATGAAGGATACTTCCAGGAATCTTTACGGTTAAAAAAGCTCATCGACATCGTCTAGGATATGTAATCTATTTCTTATATAGTTTAATCTGTATTTGTCAATCAATATTGCAAAAAAATGTTTGTCACGATATTTGATGTTATTGTATAACACATTTGGGCGACAATAAAACTCCAAGTAGCATAATATATGGTTTTTACTAGATAAAAAGTGCTTTCAATACGATCATCACAGCTGATAAATAATTCTTGACAAACATAAATATACGAGAAAACAACTGAAAAAACATTGTTCACTAGCCTTGGATAAAAAATTAAACGTTTCCAGAGCGTTCTACGCGGTCGGTTTTACCTTATCATATATTACACAGTCAATATTTGTAAGTCGAGTGGTGGATTGTTTTTTTTCCGTCACATTCATTGATTTGCATATGTTGCTGCTCTCTCGGGTAAAAAAAAGTGTTTTGCTTTAATGGTTGTGACAACGTCGATTAGTTGTCTCTGACACACGTTGAAGTGATAATGTACTCGTTAAGCTTAACGAGACAAACCGAAATCGAACAGAGTCTAAAAGTTGTTCTTTTGTTCTTCTACTTTAGGTAAATTCATGTTCAGATATGTCGACGTTGCCAAGACATGCGTAGTTTTTGTTAATTTTGTCTCGTACATGAATCAACAGGATTTATCGAGCTCGACGAAATTACCCAGTTTACTTTGCATGAAAATGAAAATGGAATTTAGAAACTTTTCTTATTAGAATCACGAGAAAACGTCTTGAATTTCGACATAAAAAACACATTTTACACGTAGCAATCGTTCTAATCCGTGTAAAAGAAGTTCACCAGAACTTTTGAATTACGTTTGTTTTGTGTTATAAGATAGGTATTAACATTATTTCATTGAACTTAATGCGTTTACTATCAACTCGTCGCCTATTAGTTTTATTGATTATTGTTACTTGTCGTCTCATCTATATTTACTATAAACACAAATCAATGGCAATAGAACCTAAGATACCGCAAATTCTGCCATCAAACAGTATCAAATCATTACTCAAACAATTTTTCACTCCTGGAATCACATTAAAAGAAATTCAAAACTGTTGGAATCGATTAATGAGTGCCTGGGAGAAAGTCCTGATGAAATTTCTCACTGACGGATGTCAACACTGTCACCATGATATTTATAACAAATGTTATACTTCAATTGATCTTCAACTCTACATCTTTTCTTTGAATAGATCATTTTATCCGTACGATGAACGTATTCGACCGAATGGAATTGGTTTGTATTATAATTTTAACTTGGAATTAATTCGTTCGGGAAATCATTCGATTCTATCAACAAATGTTAATATTTGTGATTATTTTCGTATGATACAATTATTGATGCATGTACAAAGTATTCTTCATAGATTAAACATAGGATATTTTATAACAAAAGGAACTTTTATTGGTTCATTACGACATCATGATATTATACCTTGGGATGCTGATATAGATTTTTTTATTTCTCAATCATCGGCGTTCAAACTGAAACGAGCTTTTCAACAAATGAATCGGTTCATCGATTCAGATAATGGAGAGACTTTTGCTAATATCAATGAAAATGTTGATCTGAACCAGAAAGTTTATTCCAGTGAACCGTTGTATCAACAGGATCTTTTTGTTCATCAATTCCAAAACACTCGTCGTGTCACATCATATAAAGTTTTCTCGATTCATTCAACTCGTGTCGAGGGTACCTATTATCGATGGCCGAAAATCGATATTTTCCCGTATCAACAAAGTCGTACACACGTATTTGCACATCCCCGACAAGATCATAATCTTGGCACAATGAAGTATCTCGCTAAGACCGATATCGAACCGTATCATCTCCGATTGTTAGGCCCTTTATTGCTGCCCAGTCCACGACACATTCATCCCACGCTCAAAGCTATGATACGATCGGGAAAATCAGATGTATTCAATGTTTGTGAAGGCAATAAATTTTTACATCGTGAAAATCGTGCTACAACTGATCTACGGCGTGTTCCTTGTTATACCCTGACTTCACATTATCCTTTCGTTAAAAGTGGCTACAATTCAAGTAGTAATTTGTGCTCAGAAGCAGTCGTATTTAAAGAAAAGACTCATAGTTTGTTTTTATATGAATGTAAGGAAAGTCTTCGACGAACATTGGATTAATTATTTGAAAATAAACGAGCAGCATTCACAAGGCTTGATTTTCAGTTCTTCCCTGAAATCGAAAATCTCTAAAACAGTGCTGTATGATTAATAATCTCTGTTTGAGAAATGTTTTTTTCGTATTTCGATCCATTACATAGTAAATAAACGAAAAATAAAATGTACTTTGAATACGTTTAAGAACTTCTCCAGTTTTTCCACACTATTTGAGGACAAAAAGTGGCAATCTGAGAATTGGATTTGATGCTTGTACAGATAATTAATGAAGGAGTATCGTATATTTGCTAAACACAAGAAGCATCTCCTCGGCCACTTTTCAAGAGGGTTAATTGAAAGGGTGGAGACATGTTTTTTTTGTTCGAAATAAACTTCAGTCTTCAAAGATTTCTTCGTGCCACACAAAATTTCTCATGGATGTCTGTTAATTTGGATATAGAAATACAAATAGAAAATTGAAAACTTTTCACGGCTTCTCATTACGAAGAATAAAATAATGTCTAGTTTTTTTCTCTTCATAAGTATTTAACCAGTCTTCATGAATACAACTGCAAGTCTTATTGGATCAAACATGATCAATATCGTTTGTTTTATCCTCATTTTTCATCTTCCTATCGTTTATTCCAACCATTTCTACGGTGGAACAATCACATGGAAACCAATGAATAATACTGATTTTAGTTCAACAGTTCCAATTATGTTTACTCAATCTTACCAATGACGACAAACACAAACACATTGTGATGACACATTTCTCAACAATCAAACAAGGAAAATTCCAATGAATGGAGATAAACTTCAATGTGTTTCGAATTCATCGTGTTCAACGTATACCGCATTAAGTGCTAATGGATATTGCACCGATTACAGTATGCTTATTGATACCAGTTCAAGTCAAATCTCAGACGTCGAAATAATTAATATGGATTCGACATTTTGTATAGCTTATCGAGGTTCAACATGGCCGGGCATTATAACAAACAGTTGTGGTTTCAGTTGTTATGTTGACAGCGCGAGATGGTCTTTGGGTTGCTGTCTTGATTTAACAACACAGGAGGATGGTTTTATTAATTCAGCACCGGTGGCAACAGCCATTTCACGTATGATTTTTACATAATGAATGTAAATTATTTTCTATTTACTTTAAAGCGATTTATGTGCCGACGAATACGATAAACGTCATAACAATACCGGCTACTGATGCGGACGATGATAACTTACGGTACAAATCAATTTTGCGATTGTAAAATTCATCAAAATCAATCCTTCATTATTTTAGTTGTCGTTGGGCGAGTAATACTTCATTATTTGACGAATGTGGTGATATTTGTGGAATAGCTTCTGGATGTACACTTTACGAAGAAAACTGTACACTAGTATTTAATAGTACAGGAAAACAAACGGGTAATTATTATGCTGTAGCATTAATGGTCGAAGATTTCTACAATGACACGAATAGTACAAGTTTAAGTAGTGTTTCAATACAGTTTCTAATTCATATTGTTGCGAAACCTACATGTTATTCGAAACCGACCATTTCGTTGAATTCATCAATTAATACAACTTTAGAAGTTGGAACGGAGTACTCCTTCACTTTCATCATTAAGACAAACTGTTGAGGTGTATCGATTGTTGATTATTATCGACCACCGTTATTAAATATGGATAAAAGCAATTTAACATATAACACTACGAATAACCTATGGACAATTACTGAAACATGGAAGCCAACGACAAACCAGGTGGGCTCTCAAATCTATTGCGCCGTAGCAACTGATAGGTAGAAGGGTTTTTTTGATGAAGTCGATGTGCGATTAGTAATTTTAGTGTCGCAATCCAATCGGATTTTTTTTGTTCAACATTTCTTGTAATTGCAATCGTCGATGACAGTAAATAACGTGATTCCTAGGCTTTTCTTTTCAATCGATCTCATTTTTAGTTTCGGACGACAACGATTCTAATAATACAGGAGGGTACGTATGATCGCCTCTTGTTATATTACAAGACTTCACTTTTTTTTATAGACCGTCAATGAATTATTCGTATGTTGTTTAATTCTAATTATCTACTCTTAGCAGTGAATATAATACCATTTTAAATCCAATAACATTTCAGTAAAACTGACTATAATTACACTGGATGAAACTGATATTGGTTGCCGTTATTTTAGAACAATAATTCTGACGTCGGAGACGACAAGAACTGAGATCACAACAACGGCCACAACAAGTACTGCCTCAACATCAACCACTTCTACAAACTCTACAAGTACTTCATCAACATCATCAAGTTCGACCAACTCCACAAGTTCCTCGTCAACGTCGACAAGTTCAACGAGCTCGACAAGCACTTCGGCAACATCGACAACTACAACCACAGAAACAACGTAATCTTTGTTCTTTTCCTCGATCCATACGATTGCTTTTCTACGAAAATCTTGTAGAACAACGACCTCAACATCATCAACATCCACTACGACTACCACAGAAACAACAACGTAAGATACCGCACTTTCTTCAATATTGTTCAGATCAATTTACCCTTTAGAACAACAACTACACCACAAGAATCTGTTACTGTTATAGATTCACCATTGCATCAAGCTAAAAAATACTCATGATATACTTATCTTCTCTCTTTCAATTTAGTGATCATACCAATTTCGACGAAAGATAATTCAGGATTATTAGGATTGGGTCGAGGACTTGGCTTACCGTTAGGTTTAGCATTTATAGCACTGACGTCGTTCGGATTGCATCGTGGATCTGCTGCACTATTAGGGTATGAAATACAGTCAAATGGAAGAGGAACAATTGCAGCATGACGTTTTTAGGTTCGACTCGCATTACAAATTCTTTAGTCGCCCTGGAAGCTCAATCAACCAAGTTGGATCACTTGAAAAATTAACGGATACCACGGATAAGAATCTTAATTCTCAGATTGGTCTCGATGAGTATAATCTTGAAGAGATTCATATTATTAACGAAACCATGACAAATGAACAAACAAATACGCAAAATGAAACTCTTCGTGATCTACAATCATTATCTGTTGATAGTCAAATAAATAGTCTTAGTCCTACTGAACCTTTCACAAATAAACAAACGTTATCAACAAACGAGCAGGAACTACTTCCAAAAGCAAATTCCTTTGCTACTGTTTCTATTTCTGATTTTGAACTTAACAATCTGGATAAAACACCGTCGCCTCCACCTACATTCTCAATAAAAACCTTTGGTTTTACCAGCGATCTCCCCACCGCCAGAGGACAATGAAAATATTGAACACATACAAACAATATCTATGGATATGAACTCAACGCCATCAACCCAGGCATTTTCATTAGACACAAATGCATCACAATCGAACGGTTCGATTCTTGTCAATGCTTATTCAGAACATTAAGAAAAGGATCGAAGAAATGTTGTCTATCAACTCGCTTGATCAAAAACTTTTTGTTTTGTTTTTATCAAATTACGTACCTTTTTTGTTCTCAAACGAGCTTTGAAACAAGAATAAAGTGACTCTAACCAATTGTATGACTTCTTCAAACAAAGCTAACTTGACCGAATTAATGTTCATCTATGTCATGAACTATGTGAAATCTTTCCAGGTCATATCTCCAAACAATGAAGCAAGCACGACATAGTTAGATACACCCAAAAGCATAATTAGCTCCTTAAGGCTTTATTCGTAGCCTTCAGTATATATTTTTCTCTCAAATTATGTTCCGAGTGATCATCCAATATTCTAGCGTACGTGTCGTATGATTATTTACACTAGATCGATCATAAGAAGTTTTATCATTATGCATGTTTGTAATTGAATTTTTGTTGTCTCTATTCTATTGTAAATGAAACCTTTGCAGAACTTTTTGCGTTCGTTCGGCTAATAAGTTTTGTGATACGATTTCATCTAGGAACAAAACTTGCTTTTACTGCTGAATTCAAGAATGATCAAGTACAAAATGTATGTTCTCATCGTCATCTTATATTGTGTATCTGTAATTAAATCATATCCATTCGATGATAATCCATCAACATCAAGACTGACAGTAGAAAAATGGAAACAAGTATTTAGTAAGCTTTCAAAAATTCAGAATGAACACAATAGTAAATCGATTATAAAATCTATAGGTTCACACTGGAGCTCTCTTCATTCTGAGCAAAAATTATTCTCGATATCGAAAAGAGCTATAATACAAAATGGTAAAAACGAAGACGTTCTAGATATTTCATAGCTGCATCACCTTTTCTACTTTTTCGATAGGTTCAATCTATATTGACACGGGTAATACCGTTGGAATTTCCAACTTGGACTTGATCCTAGGCCTCGGACTTGGAATTCCTCTTTTACTAATCTCTGCTACATTAGTTATATGTGGTTGTTGTTGTCATCGACTTAAGTGTTTCAAGTACGTGTATTACAAGAGAAAAACACATTCGAAAAAGTTGATCGTGATCAAATCTTTTTTCCTGCACTTAGATCTTGTCTTTCGAAAATGTGCAACTATTCAGACGATTATATGAAATCAAACCGAAATTTAGTAGATAACTCTCAGGTTCCGAGTGAATTCAGTTCCGGGAAAAATGCTCCAACTAACAAAAACGTGAAGACGAGCAATCAACGTACAATTATCAACAAAGAATATGTTTCTACAACTAATTCATCCGATGGGAAAAGTATTAAATCGGCTAAAGACACAACTCAAAGAGAAGGTTTGAAAGGTTTAAGCAATTCTAATAGTAGCAACGACGTTCGATCACTCCATGACACAGACCATTCATCAATCAATGAATCTAAACGTGACAAAAAAGCAAATGATATCAAAGAAGTCGAATCCACAAATAACGAGTTCAACGAAGATCCAGATCACTCGCTGACAAATGAATCAAACAAGAATAATACAACAAAATCATACGATCTTCGAGAACTTCCATTAGCATACGACTTCGATCATAATCAAAACCTTACTACAGCGAATGTGAAACATCTTCGATTTCTCGAGGAAACAAATCAGTTGCACAGCACACCTGATTATAGTGAACAGCAAATTCAGGTTGATGAAAAATCACCTATGGTGATGAATATGACACGAACATCGCTCTTTTCGCCTCCGATCCAAGGTCTTCCAACGACAGATGTACAGTATACACATACGACTAATCCAGGTTCGATTCTTGTTCATGCATATTCTGTACAAGAAAACAAAAGATCCGATTCGACACCACTATGCTGAAGAATTTATTTTAAAATAATAAATAAATAAATAAATAAATGAACTAAAAATAAGATAAGATTCTTCTTAGCAAAAGACACCCTTTCTAATGAATTTAAAAAGTGTCTCTACTTTCATTTCAAGATCAAATTTTCAAAAAAGACGCATTGGTGGAAATGGATCATTGAGTCGTTGTCCACAATAATAACGATCGAATGCATCGATAGCTCTTGCACCACCCAATGGTTCAAATGATAATGATGAGGCACCTTCAACTCTTCGCCCCATGAAATAAACGTTCCATGGATCTTTTGCATAACCATCACTTAAAAGTCGAAAATTTGTTGACGATGCACCATCGATTAATCTTCCATTGTAATAAACATTCCACGGATCTCTGGAGTATCCAAAGTCAGGCCAATCGAAATGTGCCATGAGAAATCAACCAAAAGTCTCGTAATTCAAATGGTAGGTGTGTATCATAACGATTAATCGGACATGTATAAATACTACTGTAGTTTGTGTAAATATTGATCTGCTTTTAATCATCAGATCAAAGGTTGACGAATAATATTCACGCTTGAATCAAAATTATGTTGAGACGAGTTACCGTATATAATATCTTACGAAAACTATGCATTCATAATTAATGTTTCTCATCTCATACGATTACTTACCTGTGTCTCAATCAGACACAACTTGTCACATGATTATACAAGAAAATTTTATTTGAGTCAATGATCAACGGGAACATTTAATGTTAAGTGGTTTTCGTCGACTAAGTATACTCTTTGAGAATCAATCTCTGACGTATACCTCGACCTCGATGTAGACGTACTATTGATTGAGTGAAGACATTTTCAAATGAATGTGACTTAGCATAGTCGCTTACGACATACTAAAACTTCACGTGGTGAGCTGTGTCGCTTATCTGTTTTTCAAGTTGCTTGTGAAAAGGACAAACTACATTTATTATATCAATTAATAAATAGCATAAACAACAGGTAATCATTCAAAAAACAAATCATTAGCAAAATTTATGTAAAATTGAAATTCTCAGAGATTGTAACTTTTTCTCTTTGAGATCAATCAATGGCCCCATAATTGTAATTGTAAATAACATCTGAGCGAATTGAAATATTCCAAGTATAAATGTATGTGTTGGACGGATAAAAGCCGACAAAATTGACACAATCATTGGAATAAAAACTATGAGTGGTACGAAGACTACTTCATTGAGTATGAATATGTATCAGGATGCCGTTGTAAATAGTCATGAAGTAACCAGTATAACGCAGGTATTGTAAGTTTTTCGACGTCACATGGCAATTAGTGTCAACTAACGCTTCGAATTGATTCAGCCATGAATACTTCGTTAATAATGCATGATCACACACATTTGTATTGATATCTTCGACAAAGAACTTTGCTTCTTCAATCACCTGATGCGTGGGATGATTAATCAATATTTTTTTTGTCGTAAATGAGACCGTAATAGTATGCAGACATGAAACCAAACAAGCGAATTATTACCCGTAACAATGGTCAGTTGTCTTCCGGTCATAGGATAAATTTTATCAACATTCATCGGAATTAAAGAAATAGTCATACTTGGATTCCTGGAATTCAGTCAAGTGCTAGTTTTTTTGATAATTATGATCACTTTCATGTCGATGAAAGAAGCAAAGCTGCAAATGGTCAATACGAACGCTAACAAAAACTCACAATGTTTTCATTTTCGATGAGGATAAAGATTTTTTGTTGTGAAATCAAACATGCCACAAGAACGATAATGATTTGTTTTGCAGGAAGGCATTAAGATAAGAAAACTTCGTTTCTTTTTCTTTGCAACTTGCGTAAAGAAATATATGAAGTGCAGATAAAATAATACTGATATCCTCATCAAGAACGAGTTCCGCACTGTCGTATACTTCGCATCGCAATTGCGGACGTAAATCGATCACAATAAAAAGCGTGAGAAAACGCAAATGACTGAAATATCTGCTTTTGACGTTGCCTATCTATCATGTCCGTTGTCTTTTCAAGATTCTTCATTAATTCTGATTAATAAAAACAAAATGGAGTCTTATACTGAACCTATTCAAACAGTTAAAGCGATTAGCATGTAAAACATGAGCCATGGAACGCATTCAACGGATAAATCTAAAACTTGACCAATTACAATATGTATTTTATTCTTGTGCGATGTCCTCATTTGTTACATCAAAATATTATATGAATCCTGTGCGATGTACATTAAAGCGTATAAAAAATTCGCAGTATTTATCTGTTTACCTTTAGCACTTGAAATCATATTATGCATGGCTAATCGATATTTTTGTTTTGAAGATGATTATTTACCTGTCTGGAATCAAACATGACATACATGCTAATGAGCGAATCATGCATTGATAATTTATCGATAGTTTTATGCAAACGAGATGGTATGATTAAGTGTAAAACGCTTTTTTATTTGTGTCAATCGTTAATAAGACCATGCTATCGTTCATATGATGATACAGTTTGAAAAGGAGCCACAATGCACAGCAGCAACATCTATTGAATTAAATTTATATTTTGTTCTTACTATCGTTTGACTCATTTATGACTGATATTATTGCACAACAGAAGAAAGGTGTACACGTGGCAAGAATCGATAAATATAAAGATAGCCCGGGGAAAAATTCTTGATTTTCTGTAGAATATGTCAAATTCAGATACCGAAAAAGAATCAAGCTGTATCACAGCATTTCCCGACGATGAAGGTTTTACGAAATCATTTTCTATAAAAGAAAACACTGGGTTTATGGAATTCTTCCAAAAATATGGTTTTGTTGTGATACGTGACATTGTCGATTCTCAATCACAAATAGAGAACACAGTTGATGAAATTTGGAATTTACTTCGAGTATTGAATTCAAAAATCGATAAAAATGATAGTTCAACATGGGAAGATACTAATTGGCCTATTCAAATGGGTCTTAAAGACGGTAAGTCGATTGATTGATATTCTACGCAAATTTGAAACATTTAATACAGGTGGTTTTATATCACATATGTCTGATGTGGCAACTAAAATGTGTTGGGAGAACCGACAACATCCAAATATCGTCAAATTATTTCAAATTCTTCTTCAACAAGATGATCTTTGGGTTAAATTTGATCGATACGGATTTATGCGGCCAACAAAAGATATTCCTTTTACAAATAAGGATAATAATTCCATAACGATCGAAGATAGACCAGAATGGCGTTCAAAACCCAATTGGTAAAGCAGAATTTTCCTTCTCAGTAAATCACTTCCCTCTTTTCTTTTTCAGGTTACACTGGGATCAAGTAAATATGATCAATTGATTGTCTTCTAAAGTCCAATGAACAGTTTTTCTATCTTGACAGAATCCATGGAAACATCCTGACTTTATGGGTATACAAGGTCTTTTAGCATTAAGCGATACAAATCCAAATACTGGCGGTATAAAATTTTCAATTTTTTTCTTAGTAAATTTATTTTTGTATAAGTAGGATTTCATTGTGTTCCCGGTTTTACGCATCGTTTCAAACAATGGTCGATTGATAATGAACAGGCTCATCGATCCCGTGGTGGACTTGTCAATGTTCCTTCGGATGATCCAATCAGGAATGAAGTCAAACAAATTCATGTTCGAAAAGGTTCTTTTGTCGCTTGGGATTCGAGATTACCTCATGGTAATAATCAAATCTCTATGAATCAAACATAAACTTTTCATCTAGGGAACTTTCCAAATAACAACAATCAGTTTCGAATTGTTCAGTATATTGCGTTCGAACCAGCGAAAGAAAATGACGAACGAGAATTAACAAGTCGAATTGATGCGTTTCATATGCGAAGATTGTGTTCGAAAGCTGATGAACAACTTACTGGATTTCCTGAACCACAATTAACAGAATTAGGTGAAAAGATCATCGGTATCAGAAGTTGGAAAACGAACGAAAAAGTGAAAAGTTCTTTTGAATAATTTTGTTCAATATCATTTCAAAGCGAGAGTAATTATCAAAATAAACACCGATAACATACAAAAGTAAAAACAAGAAAACAGCATCCAGTCATTCGGTCGGAAGGAATGTTCATCGACTGTTGTTCATTGATTTTCTTCACTTGATCAAGATTGATCCCAGTTGCAAATAATTTCAATGCTTGATGATGAGCATGGATGGTGACTTGTTTCGCATCGATCAATTCACCATCGCATGACCAGTTTCCAAGTTCATTGTCGTGATGAACAACAAGAGGATGGATGCACACTTCAGTTGCTCGAAATCGTTCGACATTGGATAGTTTTTCGATTCCATGACTATCATTTGCTGCACGATGAAGAAAACGAAGAAAGTGTAAACGCCACGAGTGTTTGACGAGCACGACATCAAATGAACCATCGGCTACGAATGATACCGAAAGAGAAAAAAATCACATTTTCGTTGTTTCTACGGTGTTGACAGATATATGACATTGTATTGTTCACATATTCCATCGATACATTTCCCACATTTTCAAAAACAATTTATCCTATTATGCATTCATTGAGACATATCCCGGCATCGGACTGCATCAATATGACTTTTATAATGGAGAGGATCAATTCTCTTAATACCGGAGTGCATGAATCTAATTGTTTTGACTTTGAAAAGAGATATAAATTGTATTAGTAGAGTTTATAATTTTTGTCTATAAACGTCTTAATAGCCATTGAAGTGCTGATGAATTCCAACATCAGTGTTGTATTGATGCAACTTTGGTGTGTTTAATTCCACCTCTCTATGAAGATGGATAAACTTTTCATTGTGCACTTTAGTACAAAAGAAAACATAATAAACTCATTTAGAGCAAGCTCATTGTTTTACAATGACTTGTAGTTATTACAAGGAACTCCACATTGTCACCTTCATTCGTATAATTTTTTTTTGAATGATAATTGAAAGAAAGAGATTGGATAAAATTTTTTCGACGGCTAAAGTGACCGTATAGAACGATTATCATCGATATTGCCGAGGAAAGAACTATTCTCTTTGTTTGTTTGGACGAAATCGGTCAAACTAAAGAAAAAGAAGCTCGTATGAATATTATTATACAGAACGATGCTTCATTAAACAAGAAGAGCAAACTAATCTAAGAGATGGTGACGTTCAATGAACTGCCAAACGAAATTCTTTTAATGATTTGCAAGGAATTGAATGATATTGATATTTTGTACTCTTTGAGGAATGTCAATGAACGCTTCAACCAAATTATTCACAATTTATTGTTAATCAATCGGTTGACTTTCGTACAAAGAACTTACTTTCACTTTGTTGATTTGATCTCTTCCGATGAAATACTTTATCAATTTACTTCGAATATTCTACCACAAATTGCTGATCAAATCGAATGGATTGATCTGGAGTCATCTAGAATGGAAGATATCTTACGTGCTACCAATTACAACAATTTGCACGGTCTTGGCCTTTATAATATTAACGAAATCTCAGCGAAGTATCTTCTGAGTGGTGAGGATCCTTGAGGTGAACTGAATTCGTGTAGACTATTAATGAATATTTGTCTTTTAGAAGCAAATGTGTGCTGTGGGCGTTTGAAAAATTCGATTCGAAAACTTGTTATGACTTTTAGCAATGAGTTTGAGACTTCATATGAAATTTTTTTATTCATGTCAAACCTCGTCAATGAGATCTTCAATATTTTGCCTGGCTTAACCACTTTGGTATTCTCGGAAGTAAAATATCAAAATTGTTTTCGATTAGATTTCAGTGAATCTCCATTGAACTGTTTTACTTCTCCGATTCTTCAAAAGTTAATCGTTCATGTTGAAAATTTCGACGATTGTCTTTATCTTCTTGATGGTCGTTTCCCTCAACTTGAGACAATGCATGTTGATCTGATAACTATTCGTCCACCGAAACACGTCCGAAGTGAAGTGCGTTCGAATGAATTTGATTACATTACAAGAGAAGCATTATCTCTATTTAGGGCTTTTTACCTTATTTAAAGCGTTTTGCTCTTTCGTGTCGATGGTTAACCTATGATTATGACGAAACCATTCCACCACTTCTTCGTCGAATGCTAAATCTGACGAAATTGAATCTATGTTTAACTCTTGGACTTTTCTCTCAGAAAATCGTTGATGGAAATATTATAAGGAGAGATATCATTAGTCAATTGCCGAAATTGAAAAAATTCGATTTTTTCATTCACTCAATAACATTTAAACAAAATGAAGATACTATATCATCAATAGACGATATTCAACGGACATTTATCGGCTTTGAGAAAAGTTCTGTTCGATGATCTATTTCAATTTCATTACGAATCGTTTTCACGGTGGAATATTTCATTCTGTTCGAAAAATATATTTAGCAGATGAAATGCCATTTGAAAATGAATTTTTTCGTCGAATTGCGCAATCATTTCCAATGTTGGAAGAATTATCCGTAATCAATGATGAAGAACAACAGAAGAAGCAAGTGTTTATCTCAAACAATGATCAAGAAAATTCTTCCCCTATCAAATATCCACATCTTCATGAACTTCGTCTAGTTTATGTTCCTGATGATTATGTCGAACAATTTTTGTTGAATACAAAAGCATGTTTGGAGAAGAAATTCATTCTTTATGTTGAGTATGAATCTTTACAACGGGTGACACACGGGTTTACGAGAGATCAAACACGAATAAATTGCGAGAAAATTATTCAACTGTACTTGTGATATAAAGAGAAAGCCATAATTCCTGCTGTGCAAGAGTATTTTCCTTGTGCGCAAGTTGATCGTGAATACTTTTTTTAAGAATTTCTTTGACTGTTCAATAAACAAAAAACAGAATAAAAGAAAATTGTCTTATCTATCATAAGAAATGAAATCTCGAAGCTTAAATGGCCTACCAGTTTAACTGCATTTTAATGACATTATTACACTCAGTTCATATAATACACACGCAATGAACGTGAAGGTGATGGATGTCACTATAGCGCAGTTGTACCTAATCTTTCTGTTCGATTGGAACAGGTCGTGATACTTAATTCGATAGAAAACAATTGCCTCCGAAACGAACAATTTGGATTCTTATCGACTGGCCCTCTTTACGTTAATGTAATGTCCAGTCACATGCTGATGTAGACGGATATATATACACATACCGACGTAAACGAAAAAGTATAGTAGAATGAAATACGATGTCATGTGCAAAGTCAAACAGAATTTGAATCAGAATAGCGTCATAAGAAAGTGAGAGAAAAAGGAAAGGTCGAGAAAGCCATTCACATTTCTTTATTTTCATAGCTATTCGAAACAAATGATTTTCTTGTCTTTTGAATCAATCATTCTTTTTATATTGAGATTGAACAGGCAATGAATTTTCCTGAAAAAGAATTCCGACTAGTAATTGAACATTTGGTCAAGCCGTTCAAAGAAAAAGGTTTTACTTGTGCAATGATTGATGTAAGTAGCGCAAGTCGTATCGTCCAGAGTTATATTTCATATTTTCAAAGAAAGAAGCAGATATCAAGAAAATTATTCCGATGATTTCTTGCGGCACACGAATGGTTTTTGTTAATTATTGGTATTATGATATACGAGTTTCGACGAATGTCAAGAGACGAGGAAATGAGATTATATTGACAATGGAAGTAAGCGAAATAATTTCAGCTCGATACATGAATCCAATTCTGGAGAATTTCAGAATCCCAGGTTATTATGGCACGGTCGATTCTGGCCGGAAGTTCAAACGTAGGTTCCAGTCATTTCCCGACCGTTTCCTGCAAACTTCGAGCTGGAAACGGCCAGGAACTGATCGCGATATTTCCTGTGCAATTCCGGCCGGAATCCGGCGGCAAGGAACCTGTCGGAACTTGCTGGAATCGGCGAAAACTGTGCCGGAATCGAGAAGAGCTGTATCGGAACCGACTCAGATTTCAACGGATCCAGTCGCCGGAATGATCGACCTGGGATGATTCTGTCGATATCAATGCAAAATTCGAAGACGACATAACCAAAATCATTCAATCGGTAAACAATGAAGTGGAGTATGATATTCACACTTCGTAGAAGTAAATCTATTTCTCTATGCGTTAGGTTTTATGACGAGGTAGAATTCGGCAAGCGATTTGGTCATTTTATCAATACAGTAATCATGAAAATCAAGAACTTTCGAGTAAAATTCCAAGTATTTACTTATCTAAAGAAGATATCATCATTTCTTTTTGTGTTTGAAGAAAAGCCATCCCGATCCAACGTGCAATGAAATCCATTCACTCCCATCACAATGTGAGAGTGAGAACGATGATCATCATCGTTCATTATCTCCCAAAAGACAACATCTATTAAACGATCCACAGTTTCAAAAGATCTTAGCTGATCTCAAATTATCGCCAGCAACATCCGATAATAAACCATGACAAAACAGTCCGACTCGAAGTAACTAAAATAAATCAGACAAGAAAAAAAATCGATTGGAAAATCATTCTGAAAATATTCGAAACGGTTCTGTCAAATAAGAATCGATTTGGATTTGGATATGTAACATAAGTTTGATCTCCATGTTTAATCTAGACAACTATTAAAGGTTGTTTTTTACGACTGAAATTATTGCTCTGGATTGAGTAAAGAAGATGCCTGTCTTTTAGATAGATGCGTCAGTGGACGAATGAAACGTTAGTTTACCTGCTTAGGACGATTAATCCGGCATTCAGATCCCGTCGAATCTGTTGGGATGTACTCGACCTGAGTAGATCGCATATTCAAGAAGCACCGATAAATTATTCGATCGAAAATTCTCGTCTCAATCACGCTCCGACTTCGGTATCTCATTGAGTGAGACGCTTTGAATAATTTGCATATATACCTTGGTAGCTGATCTATTCCCGGCTTATTAATAGAAAAAAAAAACATTTATATGATCATTCGTGAAAAATGTCGAACTCAATGTGAAACGTTAGGCATTAATTTTGGCTGCTTTCTTTATAAAGATGTTCGACAACTAGTATCTGATGGTATGTCAGTTTTGGTTTGTGAAAAGAAACAAACGAAAGAGAGTAACTCTTTCAATCGGACAATATTTAAGCGATTGATCATTTGTCAATACGATTAACTCGCTCTTATACGCGTGCGGTTCTTGAAAGACAACTTGATTCAATGCTTGCTCGAGAATATTTGGTATTTTATATTGGTAACGGGAGAAAAATGAGAAGACATTATCCGAAAAACCTTGAACAAATGGGAAATAAATTTATCCGTAGAATTCAATAGGTTGAAAATGCACATTTAGAAACAAGAAATACAGAAAATTGTTGCGAATAATTCCAATAAGTTTCCTTTATACAAAATTCAATTTCTTTTTAATGGAAATTTATTGTACAGCAATACGCTTGACACATTTGCTATTCGTGGAGGAAATCTCTCTTCGTTTGTTCCCAGATGTTGATATCAGTGGCATGGCGAAGAGGGAATGAAAAAATGAGCAATCGTGCAATGAAATTCTGACTTGTTTCTTAATTATTCAGTTACTATCTTTTCCCTTTCAACCGAATCACAGACGCATCTCAGAAAATTTCCCTCTTTTCATGTTAATAAATCTGGCCGTGACAGCTTGTCTCCACCCTCGCCTTTAAGAAAGTTCTTTTGAATAATTTTGTTCAATATCATTTCAAAGCGAGAGTAATTATCAAAATAAACACCGATAACATACAAAAGTAAAAACAACAAAACAACAGATGATCAGGAAGAGAAAACAGCATCTAGTCATTCGGTCGGAAGGACTGTTCATCGACTGTTGTTCATTGATTTTCTTCACTTGATCAAGATTGATGCCAGTTGCAAATAATTTCAATGCTTGATGATGAGCATGGATGGTGACTTGTTTCGCATCGATCAATTCACCATCGCATGACCAGTTTCCAAGTTCATTGTCGTGATGAACAACAAGAGGATGGATGCACACTTCAGTTGCTCGAAATCGTTCGACATTGGATAGTTTTTCGATTCCATGACTATCATTTGCTGCACGATGAAGAAAACGAAGAAAGTGTAAACGCCACGAGTGTTTGACGAGCACGACATCAAATGAACCATCGGCTACGAATGATACCGAAAGAGAAAAAAATCACATTTTCGTTTTGTTTCTATGATATTGACAAACCTAGATGAACAGTTGGAGACATTCCTAGTTTACTTTTATGGCAACGACCAGGCATATTTAGACAATTAATTGTTTCATAATGACCTCGACGTTTAATTTGATCCGATTTGTTCGATGCTTGAGTGATTATTATTTCCGTATTATAAGATACATTTCGAAGGAATTGAACAATGCCAGCAAGAGTGTAGCGTAACGGACCGAAAATTCTCCAATTCTCAGATTGTTCAATAATGTTGCCAAAAAATCCGTAGGCAAACATCGTTGCCATAAAACGTACGAAACCATGTTCATTATGAACCTTTAATGAAAATACGATTTTTCTCAGCCAAAATGAGCTCTTCAACTCACCGTAGTTATATCAATAAGAAGGGATTCACCAACAATAATTTGTAAAGTACTCGTAACAGGATCGTTGTAGCCAGTTGTACCAAATGCCACCGCATCGGTTGATCCAGCTGGTATAACGCCAATACGCAATTGTGGTGGAACAAGATGGGTTGTAGGATCGTTTACATCGAGTTTAGCTTGTTGTGCAGTTTTAAGTAATAAACTGTGACAGATTTCAGAAAACATTCCATCACCACCGACTGATATCACACCATCATAATCATCCAAAGAGTTCTCTTTAATATAATCTCGTGCATGATTCGCACGTTCGGTATAGATGGTATTTACAGTTAGATTCATTTCTTCGAACAATGGTAATACTTGCTCCTCGTAAACCGAATTTCCGACACCTTTCCCACATTCGGGATTGATAAAAATCAATAGATTTCGAGGACGCTTTTTCAGTTTCGATAGATATCGATTTGATACTGAACACAATCGCTGTGCAATTGAGCGATCCAAGTCTACTTCTAATTGTTTTACTGTCCAAAGGAATAGCTCAGATACATGAGCATAGCGAAGTCGGATTCGTGTAGATTGAGAAAGTGATTTTGTTTCAAATCGTTGCTTGACCGATGATGATATTGAATCGTTCAATGGTTCATCGATCTGGCGAATATTTAACAACTTGTCGAATGGAATCGTTTCTGATTTTGCAGCATCAGTCTTGTTGTTCGTTAATAGCTTTAATTGAAGTTGAATCGAATCTATTCGATCAATTAATGACAATATTTCGTCGATAGTTGTCGCTGATACGTTCTTAGAATCATCATCAATACAAATAAGAAGGTCATACGGTTCTTTATCAACAGAACACGTTGTTAAAACCAAAGTAGTCGGCATCACAGGATTCAAGGGTATCTAAACAGGACGAGAATGTATTATACAAAGAACTTTAAATTATGATGACATGTGCTACACGATTTCAGTCGTTTAACCGTTGAAATCATCTTTCTCAAAATTACGAACATGTGATAAGATCGAGCATAGAATGCTATTCCTCTACTTCCATTTCTCTGTTTATTCTGTTCTTTTTCGTATTATCATCTTCCTATCAAGAATCTTTTTTTGTTTTGTCGTTCTGTCGAACACATTTCTTCTCTTTCTCTATAACAAGTCGACGAAAGATATATTCACGTTTTCTCCAGGAAAAAGAGCCGGGTCTTGTCCAAGGGTGAGACAGTTTGTTGTCTGTTATCAGTTATAGAACTTAGTACGAATCTTTAATTGTTTCTTGTCAGATTTTATTGAATGTTGTTGATGTGCACATCATTTTTTGAATAGTGATCCTAAGTCCTTAGAGATTTAAGATCTTTCTCGACATGCTAGCAAGTTTATTTTACTGGTAAATTATATCAAATGCGTGTAAAGAAACGTTCGTTGATTCTCTGTTTCGAAAAAAGACACTGTTGTGTATAAATAATTAATCAATGAAGTTCCATTGAAGGTGTTGAGTAAGTTAACCTAATATAATCATGCCCAAATGAAATTTCTGACGATCTATAAGGAAAAAGTGATCATGTTTTCTTGTTAAATTGATTCGAAACGATTACTGTTGAATTGTTGAAGAACTGCGACGTATCATTGTTGGATTGTTCAAAGTAATAATTGCATCTCGATCTCTTCTGCTCTCAGATATTGCCTTTGAAGTATAGATCTGAAAATCTAGGAAAGGATAAGAAGAAGATTCTATTTTAGAAGGATGTCCAAAGAAACATTCACCTGTTCGAATCAATGTTGGCGGATACATAAGAAGTCGAAGAGAACAATTATAAATTCTTACATCACTGATCAAAGACGTCTGAGGTGAAAAGATAACAACTGAAATAAAAAAGATTTCACCTATAAACAAAGCTTGATGAAATATGGAATGAAATACAGTATCGGTTGATTCTCCGTAAGATCACAAGTAATTTCGGACGCAAGATTGATAAAGATTCTAAATGTGGTATTAGTTTATTGACAGTTACTTCCGACAATTGAATATCTCCAAGTGCAATCTTCGAACCAATACGCCATCTGAATGAATCAAAATGCCGATATTGTTAGAAATTGATGAGAAGAAGAGATTTGTTTTACTTTGTTAAAGTTGGATGATGTGAATAATTACATTTGTAAAAACAAATGTCAATCAATGGTGATCGTCGGAGAATGTACAAACGATTCTTATCTATAAAAATGCAAAAGTTTGCTTTGTTTTCATCGTTCTTTGACGAAATCTATATACTTGAATCTGAATAATCAATTCGCAGATCACTTAATTCAAATTGATATTTTGCGTAAAACTTTCGGTCTTCGGGATTGTCCTTTAACGAGAGAAGAAATAGAATTAAAAAGCAACAAAACCGTTCGACCATACTTGAAAGAGATTGTTGTCAATTACTTTCCTGTCCGAAGAGGATTTTAAAGTTAGTTCGTTAAACTGAACACGAATTGTCGAGAAATTTCTAAGATAAAACAAAGTTATCTCTATCAACAAATTCAATGAGAACACTGGCGTACTGTTTTGTGTCATTATTTTGCATTAAAAACAAGGCAGTTTTCTTCAAATTCATATGTATGTTAAAGATTTTCTTTGGCGATAGATCTGTGTGTTGTTTGGCTCTAAACGAACGATAAATTTCACTATCATATCGATTGATTATACAAACTTTGTTTGTGGATGCCATTCTAACTTATCTTTCGATGAAAAGCAGTCAACGAGCCAATTGAATATCACCTAAAAAAACAAACACGAATTTGATTCAAGAAGAGTGAGGATTTTAACTTACTTCATCGTAGAAAACTTTAAGTGGTTGCATGACCAAATGAAGACGATAGTCAGATTTTTTATCTGCAGGAAATAATTCGAATTCCACATGAACAAATGGAGAAAATGTAGACATTGTTCCCATGATCAGTATCGGTCGTTGTTCTTTATTCGATTGCATACCATAGATGTGCGCCGTTTGTAAATCAATCATACATCTCAAATACGAACATAATTCTTATGTGGAAAGGCAGATATTTTTTGTCATACTCAATGCTTCTTGAAACAGACATTCGTTTAATGTTCATCCAAATATCCGTTACGCAGATATATGCAATCAATTCATTGTTTTCCATGATATTCAAATCAGTTTTGTTTACAATGAGTTCCACGTCAATTTTAGGTGACTAAAACCAAGAAGAAATCGTTATCAACATCGTTTCAATATGCACGAATTGTTTACATCTTCGTAATAGTATTCCTGTTCATTTTCAGCAAATGCTGCAGTTGTTGTGGCTATGGTTGTCTTCACTTGATCGATAACTATATGACAAATGAAGAAAAAAAAAACTATCACTCGCAGATCTTTTACATTTGCTTTACCTTTGGTGATATGGTTGAAACCATGTTTGACTTTTGATAGTGATTTCCAACGGCTTTGACGAGTAGAATTAATGCCTTGTTGATCAAATTTTTGATCTTTGGTTTGCGGATGGAGAATATTGACTTCCAGTTCTACTTTATGTTTGATATATGCCAAATTGAAAACATCCAGTTTCATTTCAAGAAACTGAAAACACGATCATATCAATACAATAGAGAAGAGGCATTTCTCACATAAATACGTTGTTTTTGTTCCTCTGTTATTGGTTGTCTGCCTAATGATTGTTGCATTAACAACTGACGATATTCACGACAGCGATCTTCGAATAGAGTTTCAATACATATTCGATTGTATATTAAATAATTTTACCGAAAAAAGTGGTATAGTTTTGCACTTTAATAAATGCTAAGATGTCCGAGATCTGTTCGGAATTCACGAAAATGTTGATTTTTTCAACTTGAATGTCACAATACATCCGAGTTCGCTCATAATAACTTTCTTTCGGTTTTAATACAACAACACATTCTGTTATAATATCCATCGGACGAAGAACTAATCATAGAAAGAGAAATTTCGCTTATGCGATAAAAGCTTTGCAGTAAAACAGACTATAATTCATATCAGCATTGTTGAGTTTGTTTTGATCTGTCGCTACTTTTGACTTCAAATCATTCTGAAATAATCAAATGGATAGTGCATGGCGATAAATGATCAAGGTCGTACCACAACATCGTTGAATGGTATATCAAATCTTGATTGACATTTTGTATTCCAATAGATCGACAAAGATCTCATCTCTTTGATCTACATTTATCTAAAGTAAGTAGTTAAAATTCGAAGTGCAAACCTACTTTGTAAACTAAGAGTGTGTTTCCTTCAATTCTTCGACTTAATAGAACATTAGTTGCGGTCTAAAATGAGATGTCTGTTATATTCTGTTCAAAAAGGTTTGAAAGAGCGAAAACCTGTAATTCTAAATAATGCATGGTAATACCGAACGAGAATGGATGTCCTAGTTTTGTCGATGATTTCATCTCGTAACTGATATGAACATTTTCAACAGTAATAACAAGATTTTGCATGATTTGTAGTCGCATTTTTTCAACGAATGGAACTTCTCGATTGTAAATCTTTCCATTATCTATTGGTAAATGATTAGAAACGAAATGTAAGCAAATGAGAGTTATGAACCTGGATCAGATTTTCTTAGGTTTTCCAGTTTTTGTTGGACACGTGCCATTTTCTCTGAATAATGTTCATTCAAATCGGGACTTAATTCTACAGAAAAAAAGGAAAACACAGTAAACCGATTTATAGTTTTCTTCTCTTTTCCTTACCACTTTTAGGAACAATTAATAGATAAAGTCCACTGAGATGAACTTCAGTTGCTTTGGTATTCAAATGCATCCATGGAATAGTTATTTGGAGTCGTTCTAACAACATAGATGATGAATACATGTCAGAAATGGAATTTGAAGGAGATTTTACCTATGTATCCAACTGCAACAGTTGCAGGTATATTGAAGTATGCCTAAAATGATACGGATAGACAGCGACTGGCAAATTCGAATGCATGTGTACCAATGCTTCTGGTTTTAAACGAAGATTATCCAAGTTAACATGACCTATTTAGAAATTAGATGTAAATAATGTATAAATAAACAAATGTGTAAGACCAGTTTTTAAGCTAAGCTTTAGCTTTTCATAATCCAGTCGTTCGATATAATTTTTCAGATACTTATTGATTACATAATGAATAAAATTCTTCCACACCATTTGTTTGTTGATTAAAAACAATACAATCGTTTACGATTGTGCTTTGTATATCCCTTTTATGTCGAAATATACCTTTGGTTTACATGTGCATAAACGTAAAGGCAATGAAGGAGAAAAAAATACTGTGTCTTTCTCTTTTTCGTTCTCTCTTTCATGACCATTACTCATCAAGCGAAGAATTACAAACGACAACATTTGTCAATCATATGTATCATTAATCGTATACATATATATCAACTAAAAATGACTATAACTTTTGCGCATTCAAATGAGGGCGGTTGCAAATTTGTTTTCGCGTCATCAGCGGCCAAAATCAGATGTAAACAACGTGTGTGTGTGAGAGTTTATTTTCTCTGCATCGTCGACAAATTGTTGATGAATATGAAGAAACACAATTTGGTGTTGCTCTATTTGTTCGTTAATAATTTTTATTGATTGAATTAAACCTTAGGACGAACAACTAGAAATGCTGTTGGAATGTCAATCAAATGATTATGTTTTACAATGAAGAGATGTGCCGATTTTAAAGTCACAGTCTGTGTGCTTCTACTAATAGACTCATACGTATGCGGATATTTTTCACAGTGTAGCTAAACGTTCCAATCTCATGATCGCTAGTGACTATTCGTACGTCGTTCATCTCTCTCCTATATGAGATTGTATCCGATGTATGAAAGTCCGCAACGAAATCTACCATCGTTTCTCAAGGTTTGAAAGACCATAGGTCATATACACTGTTATACGCTGTTGATGAAACAAAATGTCATTCGACATCTTATCGAAAACTATAGCGTGTATGATGATCCTTTGTTTCACATTGTCGTACGAAAACAGCTGCTTTTTATTAGAAATATCATTTGAAAATCTCAAAGATGTCGACAAGCAAGTGAAAGTGTTGAAGTTAACTTATCAGACGATGTCAATGCTGGTTCAAACAATGACGATAAAAGAGATAAACAATGCTTCGAATGGGTAAAATCCTCAACAAATGCATTTTTTACATGGATGCAATCGAAAGATTGTTATTAACATTTGGAATATTAAATGATAATATAAATAAATTTCATCAAGATATCCGTATATTAGTTAAAGAATCGAATGAAATACATCGCGATGTAAAGTCGTCAGATCGTTTATTTTCAGATTCATGACTAATTTTTTGACGCTCGTCTTTAAAATGAAACGTAACCAGCTAAGAAGGAATATTTTGTCTACTCTGTGATGATATTAACGATAATAGAAATTATCAAGATAATTTCAAATTACTTCGTTAAAAAGTGTCAGTTAGAATATACGTGAATCTCTAAACCATTCGAACCGTTCTGTGTATAGTTTTTCATTGAAATGAAACCTCTCTAGTACACCATATAGAAAGAAGTGTCCAGTAAAATAAAAACAGCGTAGGGCATTATTATTCATAATTCGAAGCTATACGATCACATATTTTCATTCGATGCTGCACCATAAACATAATTTAAGTGTCATTCGATAACAACTACCGATGATCTTATTCTCAATTCAAAATAACAGCACCTTCAAACATATGCATCAGTGATTGTACACACTTATAATATTATATTCTCTTAACCACGTTTTTCACTGTATCGTGATCGATGACCGAAATCAGATGTAAACAAAGCATTCGTTTTCTTTTTCTTTCGACAGAGTATACACACACGATTTGTTATTTTTCACATGTCTTTCGATTGGAAATTAAATCCGCCCTATTCAAACTTGAAACAAGACGAGAAATTAATTCAATATCATGCATCATGTTACTGTGGATTCGTTCAATATGTAATTTATGATGAATTTCCAGTCGATTCAACGTATTGTCATTGCCATGGATGTCAAATATTACAAGGTGCACCGTATCAATGGGCGTGTATATTTCCGAAGACATCTTTATATTTTCAATCGGGCTTAGATTCATTGAAATTTTATAACAATGGGGAAAATATACAAGATCATGTTTTACCATGTAAAGTTAGTTGTAAATATTGTTCAACGCCGTTGGCTGACGAAGGACGTCGAATGTGGTTAGCGTTTCCGCAATCTTTCAAAGAATTTCGTCAATCGGAAAGTGTTCGAGAAAAATTAAAACCATCGTGTCATATTTTTTATGGACAAAGAACAATTCTAGGGAATTTTTTAAAGAATGATGGACTGAAGAAATTTGAAGGGCACAAGAACAAATCGAAAGAAATCTTAGATGAATAAAGATGAAAAGTAGGGTGACATTCTTCTTACTGCAATGTTTTTATTCCTCAAAGCCGTGTTGTTCTCTTTTTATTTGATGAAACTTCTTCTCATTACAATTCAGACGAAATAAATCACCCGTATAAAACTCGAAGATTTACATTTTCATTTCCTAAACATACAGATATTCACGACAGACAATGTTTTCTCTTCAAATCAATTTTCTTCTGATTTTCATCTTTCATTCCGTTGAATCGCGACATTTCCTTGGCGGAACGATATCTTGGAAAGTATTAAACAACGAAAATCAAACAAGTTCCAGTGTACCTGTTACATTCACGCAATCTTATCAATGGAAAGAATCGGCTACCTATTGTAATCAATCTCTTATCTTCGTTTATCCACCTGTATCCGTAAATCCGGATATTCTCCAATGCGTCAGTCCCACTAGTTTGTGTGGTGGTTACACAACGTTGAGTACACAAGGATATTGCATGGATTCAAGTCTTATCTCTGATACACGATCAAGTTATATTCTTCATACAGAAAATATAACTGTCGGATCAAAGTTTTGTGTTGCGTTTCAAAACATGAACTGGATGGTATTACAAGCTCCATCGTGTAATACATCTTGTCCGTTGTCAAGTGCAGGATGGTCAATCGGTTCTTGTATTGATTTGACAATTCGACTAGGTGGATTTGTCAATACATCACCTGTTGCAAATATGATTTCTCGTGTGTATTGATGTGATGTGTTGGTCAAGAGGATCTATGTTTGTCTTCTTTTCATAGCGGTCAAAGTTCCAGTGAACAGCACAACAAATATAAAAATTCCTGTTCTTGATGCTGACAATGATATTCTACGGTAAAAGACTATGTCTATCGTCCTTATTTAATTATTTCATTTTAGCTGTCGTTGGGCGAAGAAGACATCGGCATTGGATGAATGCGGTGATGTTTGTGGTACAATATTGGGAAGTCAACTTGATCGTGACAACTGTGTATTATCATTCAATAGCACAGGGAAAACTGTTGGGGATTTCTTTGCAGTGACTTTAATGGTGGAAGATTTTCCTAATGCTACTTCGAACACATCATTAAGTAGTGTCCCAATACAGTTCCTAATTGAAATTGTCGCTTCACCTCTATGTGTATCGAAACCGATGATTAATTTGAATCTTTCACAATGTGTTGCTATTCAAGTTGGAATGAGATACAATTTTACTGTAATAATTGATCAAGGATGTCCAAATACATCGGTAATTGACTTGATCACAGTATCACCGTTATATATGTCGAAAAGTAGTCCTGTACAAATAGGATCGAACCATCAGTGGTCAGTTTCGTATACTTGGATACCAACTGTGGAACAGATCGGTCCGCAAATCTATTGTGCTATGGCAATTGATAGGTAAAATATAAGATTAGAACTTTATTGATTTTTATTAAACTTTAGTGTTAATATGACATCGGATCAATTATGCACTGCATTCACAGTGGTTGATACAAATCAAAATCTTCTCTGTATGTCAATGCGAACTTGTCCATAGTTTTATATGTACGTAAATATGATCTAGGTCCTGGCGAAACAACAACAAGTACATCTACCAGTAGTAGTAGTAGTACGTCGACGAGTAGTACATCCACAAGCACAGCGACCTCAACAACTTCAATCAAATCTACTGATGATTCTCGATTATTGCTATTAGGTCTTGGATTAGGTATACCTGTGTTAGCCCTATTGTCGGGTTTGATTGTGTATTGTTGTTGCTGTGTGGAACAGTGTAATCTTCTATGGTATGTCATTAAAATGAAGATTTCATTAGTTTGACTTGTTCTATTCTAGTGGAAGATGTCGTCGACGATTTCGTAATCGTACGGAAGACATTCAAAATGAAATCTTCATTGATCAGCGCAATGAAAATTCCTCTGACTATCGTAGTTTATATATTAATGATAGAAATCCTTCCCCGATTGCCAGCGAGCTTCCAAATGATAATTCTTCGCATAGAAACGCAAATACATCGATTTTAATTGAAGCATATAGAACACAAACGAATCAAAGAACAATTCATATATGACCAAACATGATATATTGTGACAATGAAGAGTGGTTTTGTCTATTATTATTTTTGCATTTGGATTATTCTCCCCAAAAACCTTCGATTTCTGCCAAATTCTTACACTTAGTTTCTGGCATCTAAAATAAAATCTTGAACTCTTTGAAAAAGAAAACAACAGTAAAGTGCGGAACTTACCTTCAAGAAAAGAAAGACGAATGATACAAGAGAACAAACACAAAAGACAAGAAAAACATAGCCTCCAAAAGCTGATTGAATTAATGGAAAGAGAATAACGACCACTAAAACAAAACGAAAGTTAATAGTGTTCTGAATAAGATCGCCAAAAGGAGAGAGCACATACTTAAATTTGTTAAAAAAATAAAAAATATCGTTACAGAATGCGCAACAGGTCGAATACTAATCGCAAATACTTCATTTGGATAAAGAAAAGGTATCGGACCAAGTCCAACAGCGAATAAAGCAATATATAATAAAATCAATAGAAGTGTTCCAATAGCCAATCCCTCTAAAAGACGAACAGAATTGAATTGAGCGAAATTTCACTTTCCGGGTATACCTGGATTGATTTGTAGAAACACACACAGTAAAATCATAATGATAACAGTCAAGGCGAGCGGATAGATAATCAATGGACGTCGACCGAACTTTTCAATAAGTTTAATTGATGCAATAGTTGCAACTAAATTTGTTAAACCAGTTGATAAACCACTCCAGTAAACCTTTTCATTAACAAATCCCATTGTTGCCAATGTTGGGCCACAATAATAAAATACCTCCAGTCAAGTGAAAAGAAAATGTTCTATACTGTGATGAAATGGTACCGACTTACTGAGTTGATACCAGAAAACTGAGCTGACCCACTGACAAATAGACTTGTTATCAATGGCCAACGAAAACGAGGTGAAGTGAAGAGTCGTATAAGAGATGCGTCTTGAGAACTAACGGTCGCTTCTTGTCGTTCAATCTCTTCTAATTCGGCACCGATTTGATTTGTTTTTCGAAGAGATCGTAAGATTTCAGCAGCTTCCGGCCCACGACGTTCTTGTGCAAGCCATCGCGGACTTTCATGTAATCTCCACACTAACAAACAACCAATTAAAGGAAATACTCCAACCCATCCCATGCCCCAATTCCACTTACTAGGTATAAAGCAAGAATTATCCTATGAAAAAAAATCATACTGAGTATTCAGTTACTCATGTTGTCCAAGTAGCCATGGGAGACTAACAACTTGACCAACGAGTATGCCAATAACGATTAATAGCTGATGATAAGTGACGATTTCACCACGCATTGTTCGAGGACTGATGTCAGTCAAATAGATGGGTGTTACAACACAAGTTAAACCTTGAAATAATTACACTCGATGAATATAGTTGAAGAATGAGTGCCGGCAGTTACCTGCAGAGTAACCTGAAAGAAAACGCGATATATAAAACAAAGCAATTGCTAGCTCTTTATTGTCTAATGCTTGTTTGATTTGTAGGAGAGTTGGATCATTTAAGTCATATGCATGATAAATTGGTAGTGTACAAATCATCAGAATCGACGCCATGATTTGAAAGAGCATCGCCATAACAAGAGCGTTTCGTCTGTTTGATAGAAATACTCGTCAACAGATGAGAAAAGGCAAGTCTATTCAAAACAAACCTTGTTAAATATAGGTACCAATATTGACCAGTAAAGCCTCCCACTGCAGCTCCAATGACAAAAACGATTCCATGAAGTGAGTCAAGAAAATTTTGAGTAACACGCTGACTTTCTGGAACAGCTGGCAAATAATAATAACCATTCTGATTTTTCGATGCTTTATGAATATAATCACATCCTGACCAGATAGTGGCGATCCATTGAGATGTGCTACCTTCCTTCTGACAGGGAAACGGATATCCACGTAGCCATGGAGTGATGAACTACGAATATGAAATTGCATAGAAAGAATTCCTCATCCGAGTAAAACTCTTTACTCCATTGTATAGACTTGGTCCACCCGTATTGACACCCATAACAAAACTTGTCGAAAATGTTACAACAATCACCGCCCATATCATTGGTTTTGTCCATTTCTATAAATAATATAGTGCTATTTTACTCCGATTCCATCAAGTTTTACTTACTTGATCATTATTAATTAATTGAAAATGTTCTGGGACTACTACAGCAGTCGCCTGAGCAACTCCTGATTCGATTTCTCGTATCATATTTTTTCCTCGCGTTGACTTCATTCTCCGTTGCTTCGATGTGCGTTTTGAGAAAACAGAAACACCTTCGGTATTTATACTGTGAAAAGAACGGCATTCAGCGTGGTAGGTTCTTTTCTCGGTACATCTGAGAAATAAGAAGTCGTCTAAGTTCCCTCTTTCTCTGTTTCACTTGAGATGCTTTTCATTTTCAATAAGTAGATATGACTACTCCGTACTTTAAAAGTATTAACGTTCTTTTTCCATATTTTCAATACCCTTGTTGATCGAACTGTGTCGTGTATATCAAATTGTCACCTTGAAATTACTTATTAAAAGAAGAAGAACAAATATCAAAACCATACAATTTATCTGTTTTTACAATAAGTTGATTAACTCGAAGCTTTGCTAGTTTTACGAGTGACTCGAGCAGGTCATGTTTTATTAGATCGAACAAGAAATAATGGCCCTAGATATGTTTAATATAGAGCATCACACACGACCTCATATATCAAGAAATATTTACATATTTTTCATTTATGTCACTTTGAATCTATAGAAAATTTCACCTATATCGTTCTTGTCTTAATCCTTTCCCTACTATACTATAGACGAAATACTAAGATTTCTGTTTTTGTATTAGTACTTTAATTATGCTTTTTTTGTGAATATCGGGGTACATACGATCTCAGTGTGGCATGAATAATATAAAGGTATTCTGTTGACCACCAGAAGTCTGTCGATCATATTCAAGCATATGATGCGTCTGCATGGATAATTCATAATGACAAAATGTAATATGATGTTTTTCTTCCCTTCTTCATAGCGTCAGTGCGTATGTTTATAGTAAGACGCATTCGATTCATTCCGATATTCGTCTTTGTCCTGATTTTAAATAACAAACTAATTTTCAAGAACATTCAAGAAAAGTTAGACAATCATTAATCATCTCGATGCCTGTTGATGTAATACCATCATAACCGATGATTGACACAAACACAATAACATTACATAATTAGACATCCATACATCTGTTTGGATAAAAACAAAAGAATATTATCCAAGAATGGCTTAATAGTTTTTTTCTTCTTCGTTCCTGTTCTGATCAAAATGTACTCGGTTAACTCGTCTTCGTCATTCAACTTATTGAGAGACATTTACAACTGATATCCATTCTTGCACGATCACATAATTGCTCTTTTTTTTTCTTTCTCTCTTCTTCGTACAATAAAATAGAAGAGAAGAAAGGTCAACTCGTAGATATTTACTCTCTATGCATTATCAATCTATTCTTGTACTGGATGTATGTGATACAGTAAAAGTTGGATTAGGTGTTCTCACTCGACAAAACATATTAATCACTTGTTAAAGTTTACAGTTGATGAAAGTGAGCAAATGGTACCGAAAAATCGTTCTGTATTTTCGTCAAGAGAAAAACGAAATATAACTATTTATATCGTTGGAATGGTCCTCTATAAATTTGGATTGGAAGCATTTAATGGTTCAATTATAACTTTAGCAACTAATCGGTTTGATCAAGATGCAGCGAAAAGCCATACAGCACCACATACATTCGAAAAAGTCGGATTGGTTGCTGGCCTAAATCAAGCGTTACAATGCTTTGGCTCAATCCTCATCTCACCTCTTATTAAACATTGGCCGAAGAGAAATATTCTCTCAATTGCAATCTTTATTTTCGGCCTTTGTACAGCGATTTTAATTATACTTGATTCGGCAACCGGTGGTTATATGAAACCGAAAAATTTTAATTCAACGAATAAAAATGACTTCAGTTATTATGGAGATTATAAGTCCGATTGGATTATCGTGATATATGGTTTAACTGGCATTGCCTATGGAACAGTGGAATCGATTCATCGAGTTATTCCGACTGACATTGTCGGAAATCATGTAGAAAAATTACAAAGATTCGATGCATTGGTTCATATTTTTTATGCAATCTCAGGGGCTTTTGGCGCGTTTGTAACCGGACTGGTTTTAATACCGAAACTTGGAAATAATTACGCATTTATTATCACGCCTATTCTGTTCACTGCATCAGGACTGATTTGGTTGTTTATGAATTCTTTAAAGAAAACCAAGAGTAAACAAGGTGATCAAATTGTAACGAATGGAAAAAAATCGACCAGATCAAATTATTTAAGAATCGTTCTAAGGAAAATTTGTGCTTGTGCACAATCGTTTTTCATTGGGGGAAAAATCATTTTTACCAATCGGAAATATATTTGGATATTTGGTTGTTATTCGATAGCACTCTATGCTCACCGATATCTGGAAGATGGTATTGCACCACAAATCGCTCGACGATATTTAGGCAATTCTGCATGGTCAGAAATTATTATTGGAGGGTCAAACTTCGGTGAGTTACTTGGCTCATTTTTTATTCTATTCTTATCGAACTCAGTTCGAACACCAATACCGTGGTTAAGAATAAGCGCGCTAGTCTTACTTGTTATTTGGTATGTTCCATTTTATTATCCACCAGCTAATCAAAGTAGATATGCTTGGCTTGTTGCTATAACATTTATTCCTATTTCATTCGGTTGGGCAGCGAGTGATGTTGCTCTTGTTGCACATATTCAATCGGCAATGACGCGTCTCGAACCCTTATACGAAGATGTTTCGGTACTAGGAGCAGTGATGTCATTTCTTTATTCATCGTATATTATTATTTATGCAGTTGCAAATCCATTTCTGGGAAAATTTATTGATAATACGTACAAAAATAAAGGAACAATAAGACCAGCACTTATTTACACAGCCGGTGTTCAATTTACAGTTGTAATGCTAATTATATTCGCATCAACTTTTATTCCGAGAGGTGCATTTGAATGGAATCCTACGATCGACAATGAAGATGATGAATCGTCCGATGACACAGATAATTCTGATGAATTACTCGATATAAATCGTCGTGATGATGAACTGAATACAAAATAAATAAAGCGTTGTGTTTCGTTCTTATAACTGTTTCCTTTTTATGTAAATAAAAGTAAAAGAGAAAGCCGATGTTTATATGCGCATCCATATTTTTTATACTTGTACACAGACAAAATAAGTCCAAGTCCATAATGCAAATATAGTCTTTGCTTTTAGAGCAGACAGAATATTTAATTTTGAATCGGACAAAGATAAACTTCAGCAGACATTTACTGAAAAGGGTATGCCACTCATATATGTTGAACGTAATTTTAGTCAGATGTCTCCTACTTGTAGAATATATGCATAAGTAACGGGGTCTTCCGTTTTGGACAGTTTAGATATGCGAGAATGACTGTTTTATGGGTTGTTTTCAGTGTACAGGGGCGCCTAAAGTAGCGTTGACCAGTGCATAATATGCCCGCCTATTCAATAGGAACTTCTCTGTTATACCCTTTTATTGTCAGTGTCATTCCACTGATCGTCGACCGCGTGTTCAATGTTTAAAAACAGTTGAACACATGCATATATAGATAGATATCTCTCATCATTACTATGTGTTTGCTTCACTGATTCTGAGATAATTTGTAAATTTTCGTTTGCCAAAACATCAACGCAAAAGCAACATTATGACAGATGTGTATTATCATATGCACATCAATTTCACTTTAAAGGTACAAATCTATTTTTCACATTAAATATATCGTTTTCTTAGCGAGTAGAATAATATCAAATATTACATGAGAAAGATTAAACAGAATTGTATTCAAGACAATACAAAATAACATGCTGATCTAAAATCGTATTGGATTAGCCTTTATATATACCATACATAATTGCAAATAGATATCCAAGACGCGGTGCCATCTGTTGTATCTTTTGACTTTGATCCAGTTAGTACCACTCTGTATTTTACGAGCCAACATCTTTGTGTTCACCCGTTCTTTCTTTTTGTGAATGCGTATAAGATAAAATTGACATATGAAAGATAGTTAAAAGTTCATTTTCACTTGTTTCTTTGAAAATGCCGAAACTGTTTTCCTGTTTTTCAATAAATACGAAAAAAGGCAATTCAACCAGTTCAAACAATCCAACACGTACCTATCAAACCCAAGCGGCTTCTCAACCGATCAATAATGACCATGGATTTGTTAGGTAGGCACAAGTGCATTCGATTCGTCGTAATCAAAATGGCTATCATATTCCGCACGAAGATTTGACGAGCTAGGAGTCAGCTGATAGGGCTACAAGGCATTACTTACATTCAAGTGGAGCACGCTTTGTTGCACATGAACCGAGTGATTCTTTGTCGCCGGACTCTGATATTTTCCAATCAAGATTCGCTCAACACGTGAATGTACCAGATCCATTATTCTCCACGTTAAGTAGACAGCCAGCTGTGAATCACAACAACATATATCGTTCAAACATAAATTCGCCATCAAAGCTTGGCCGATTTCATCACCATGAGAGAGATATATCAATTGTGATAAATGGTTGTCAAATACCTCAGCATAGTCAACAGGTAAGAAAACATTGAGAACTATGTCCTATTTATGCAACTTATTTTTTGTATAGACGGTGCCAAATAATACCCTGGACGATGGTTCCTGAAACAGAATTCCGTGAATTTCCGACAAAATCCCTAAGGAAACTCGCCATTTCCGAGCGGAGACGACCGTTTCCGTGCCAGATTGTTCGACCTGGGAATCGATTTGGTTGAACGGCAATGCAACAGAGTTAAAGATGCCAACGGTATGATTGGATGGGATAATTCCAGCAAGTATACAGAAAAAAATTCCATTAACACATCAATATTTTTTACAGTGTCCATCATCAAGCAAATGTATAGTATGCAAAAATAACTGAATTGCTTGGTGATGCCGATGAAGACGGTAAGTGGGAATTGATACGTGTTTCGATGTAAATGCATTTCATTTAGGCATCGGTAAGATAACACCTGATGCATTAAAGGCAATCGTGAATTATCTATTATCACCGGAATATACAGAACAACAAGCACATGATACCAATGATGGATTTACCGTAAGTCTATTAGAATGACTTTATTAGATAAATGATATTCTGTCATAGTCTGAGCGATACAGATGAAACGCGTCCTTCTCGTTTTTTCCAGGATGACCTCGTCCGTCATTCTCTCTTAGTCAAGAAAAACAAAGGACGGAATAAAATCATATCCGGTGTCTTTCTTTTTCTCTCTCTATACAAATACGTATACACGTATATAAACGCATTGATATATTTATTTGTATCAATGAACATAGATTGTATCCATTTAAACATCGAACTATTCCACGATGGCTGAAAACTTAACTGTAAGAATTTTACGCTTAGGATGTTTATGCCTAAAGCAGCTTCAATTTGTTGTACTTGACATTTCTCAGGCTAAATTTCGTCGTCACTTCACTACTGTGAACAGAATACGTATCAAAACTTGTCATACTGTGTTATCCTCTTGAAATTCCATGAAATAATTGTAGAAAAATGTCGATCATTAGAGATGAGAAAATGTTCAATACGTTTGGTGTCATCTTCGAATACGAAATGATAGACTGTAGAATTATGTGTATTGTTCTGGTGGTGTCCGTACAACTTGGCAATTAGTTAACGATCGAGAAGATAAATCCAAGCAGTTATTCTGCCTGGCTTCGAATGAAATAATGATTTGTCTCAAAGCTTGATTTTTGTTTTTTTTTAGGACGAAGACGAAGAAAACCGACGCAACAAAAATTTAGTCAAAGCCATATACGATCTCCTCAAGAAAGAAGGAAGTCTCGATTTACAACAAAAGGCGAATGATTTAGCAAAAGAACAAAAAGTAGAAGTCGAAAAGTACATTGGTCGTTTTCATGACATGTTCGGACGACAAAAAAAAAGAACATTTTTACATCTTTTGTATTGTCGAAGGGGAAATTTAGAAAAGAATTTATTTGAAATAAACTATACTCGGAGCCAGCCGGAGTGCGATTACCGTGTAACAAATGTTGTCGATTTGTGCCATTTTCGAAAATATGAATCTTGAGGATATGGGTGTGAGGGTTTGGATATGTGAACGCGAGAGTTCCTGAACGTGTGATTGAGGAAGCAGATGACCAATTTTCATACAATCGTTACCACCAGTGTGAAGCTAGCACGACGAAACGGTCTGTTAGCTAAAAACGTTTTTACTAAAAGAGTCCTGTCCATGAAGACTGCATCATTCGACTCATAATTTAATTCAACGTCGGATAATGATAGTTTTATTCAGGGGCAAAGTTTGAAAAAAATTTTCCTACATCTTAATCGTTTTTCTATAAAGGAGACAAAATTCTAAATAGAGCTTTTCCAAAGTCTATCCCGTGATTGAAACTATCATCATTCAATGTATTAGAATTAAATTCTGAGTCGAATGGCGTAGTCTTCATGGACTGGACTTATTTATTAAAAACGGTTTTAGTTAACACATCGTTTGGACGTGCTAGCTTCGCAGTGATATCTTTATCCATGATTGGAGGAAACATCGATTCTATCTTTCGGTGACATCTGGTGTCTTTCGAGTTTTTCACATACAATCGATCAACCAAATCGGTGTGAAGCTAGCACCATCGAGCTAGCACCATCAAACTAAGGATTTTCTGAAAACGAATTCCGGTCGATAAAACCGAGTGTATTCGATGCAGAATTTAATTCTGAGTCCAATGGTGACATTTTTATTCACCGGAAAACGTTCGGAGAAAAATTTTCTTTGATCTTTCTTTATCCTCAATACATGTATGTGCATCATTTTTCGGCCGTCGGCACACAATATCTCTGTCCAGAACGAATTCCGGTTCATGGAAAAGAGTCTATTCGACGCAGAATTTGATTCTGCATCGACTGGTGCCACTTTTATTCGCCGGAAAACGTTCGGTATAGAGCTTACCTTGATTCTTATTTTTTCGCATATATATACAAATATTTTTTTTTAATTCGAAAAACTTTTTTCCGAACGTTTTCCGGTGAATAAAAGTGGCATCAGTCGATGCAGAATCAAATTCTGCGTCGAATAGACTCTTTTCCATGAACCGGAATTCGTTCTGGACAGAGATATTGTGTGCCGACGGCCGAAAAATGATGCACATACATGTATTGAGGATAAAGAAAGATCAAAGAAAATTTTTCTCCGAACGTTTTCCGGTGAATAAAAATGTCACCATTGGACTCAGAATTAAATTCTGCATCGAATACACTCGGTTTTATCGACCGGAATTCGTTTTCAGAAAATCCTTAGTTTGATGGTGCTAGCTCGATGGTGCTAGCTTCACACCGATATCAACCAAACTTAGTACGTACTTTGTTCATCAAGTAAGATTTGTCGCACAAATAGTACAAATGTAAGACCGAAACCGGAATCAGTTCCATATTATTATTATTTAGCATCTCTGAGAGACTTGCTCAAGCTCAACCCCATTCTTTGGTAAAACAAGATTTACTTTCTCTAGTGTTCGACTGAAGTGAAGCATAGATAAATCTATTTTATGGCATTATGGTATCCAATGAAATATATCGAATAAGCTACTGAAATAAAAAGGTTTCACATCTGAAGGGTCAGGATTAGACACTCATTATAATCTTTCATTATTTCATTAGTGCTTTGTAAACAATTGCCCAACTGGCCATCGTCTTCACTCTTTATTGAAGTGCGTAATCTTTTTAATTTTCGTCGATGAAAAACCGCGATTAGACTTGCGACAGCATGTAGCATTATAGTTAAAATAACACAGGCGGTAAGAAGGATCGAAAAGTGATTTGGATTATTGTCCATTATAAAACCTAAGTCAGTTCAAAATGGCAATGTATTTTCAATCATCTACAATACTTTACCAGCGATTTTTTGCAGTGTTAAAGGACCTAAGCCACACCCACAAAGACTTGCTGCAAGAAGTACGAGTATGACGTTCAACTTTTGACTTATCCGGCCAGATAAGAAAGGAATAATCGGCCCATTGATTAATTCAGTCAATGAACCAAGCACAAAAAGACTTTTGTATTCAGCCTAACGATCCATACATAAACAACCCACATTGTAGCAAGCAATAAACCACAATACCAAACAATGCTTAAACACATCCACGTTGAAGCAAACACATTTAGAATGGCGCCTGCCAACCGACCAATACAAAATTGTAGATTTATGTAATTAACAAGGAAAGCGTACTGTTTCTGACGGAGAGCGGAAGCGAAAATAAAATAATGCCTCAACTGGCATCGTTTGATAATATATGAAATCTATCGAGTCGTAGATATGAGAAGCATAATTTGGCAAATATTTGCTCGGTATCGATGACGAAAAACAGGTAATTAATGAAGATTAAAGAAAATGCTAAACCATATCCAAAATGGCCATAGCCACAAATTTTTGGAGAATATTTTGTTTTACTGTACTGACACGCTTCTCGTTCCGAAGAAGCTGTTTTGGTGCCAATTTGATTGGCTCTGGCTTTGCGTCCACAGAAGAAGAAGAAGGCCGAATGTCGAAAACTGATTATTAAAGATACAGCAGCAACAGTCGCATACGATTATTTAAGAACGAACGAACAAGTAGATTAGCACCAATAGCAGCACATCCATAGCCAAGATAAACTAGATTCTACAGAACAGCAGCATAAGTTTTCCACGTGTTGAGAAGAAGATTCGTTCCACCTATTAAAACCACTGGATGCATGATAATTAGTTTGTCTTATTTAATACTCACTGATACTAATCGAGCGTTTTGGAGTACCTTGCAAACAAAGTACGATCTTCAAAGCCATCAACAAGCTGGTATACGGCGTAATTAAAACACCTAGAAGAACATGAAAGAAGAAGATATTGATCTCAAGAGAAGGAAAACAAACGCAGAGACAATGTAATAACAGATATTGTCTGCAATAGATCTGCATGATTTTGAATAACTTTTTGAAAGACACCACCCAAAGTATTTCCTGAAAGACCACCAGCACTACGTAATGCTAAAGCAGTACCAATACCATTAAATGTCACATGAGTATTGTAAGCTAGAATACGCATCGTTGGATCGATAGTTTAGCTATTAAGTTCCTAAATTGAAGCGAATACAATGTTTATTGGTTGAGCATTTTCAAAGCCTACTAAATTAAGCCAACTGATAATCAATAAGGTCGTTCTTATATAATTTTTTAAGTTGAAACCAAATTTTCTTGTTTTCAAATTCATTTTATTGAAAAGGAAATATATCAATTAATATATTAAAGTCCTTTTTGCATGGACCCTATGAGATGCCTTCAAGTATCTACTTTCACATCTCGAAACTTCTGTTTGAAATTCTATTCGTCAAAACGGTCAGCATCAGTAGTCACATGTTGACGAAAAACAATGCGAGTCCTAAAGAATCCAACTAGAGTGTATATATAACAAACGACATCTGAAAGTTTGTTTGATTGAGAGCTTTTTCTTCATTGTTTAATGTCAACATCGACTTCGAAACGGTTAGCTATATATTAGGAAAACAGCAATTCTTTCTTTTAAAAAACCATTCTACTGAATTCTTTAGTAAATAATAAAAACAACAATGAAATCAACTATTTTAGTTTTTCTCGATATTATTTCGCTCTGTAAGTTGTCTGATTGAATAATTTTTATTACAGAAATGTTTTAGTTATCGAAAAAGAAACTGATGCCGTCAATTGTTGTGTATGTTTCCGGGATACATGATTGTGCTTCAGTATTCCTCAAAGAGACTGGTCCGGAGACAACATCGAACACAAATACCACTCATTGCGCAGTGCGTTTCGCTTTCTCCAACTAGAACTTGACATGTGAATTGACTTTTTCTACTAGAAAGTATATAGTGACCATTGTCAATACGACAAACATCGGTCATCAGTACGAGATCTCAGACAATGATATCAGTTATCCACGAAAAAATATTTTATAAAACATCGCGACCGAACGCGTTTTCTTCGGTATCTAAAAGGTGCATTGATGGTTTGACTCCTGCAGAGGAAAAAAACAGCTAAAATCGCGGTTTTATAGATCGGATTTTGTTGCTATTTTCTATCAAGTCTCCTTCGCACGGAGATACAAGTTCTTCTTTATCTCCACAGTGTTTCCATGATAAATCAAAGAGATTCCCTCTACTGAAAGGCTGTCATCCCGTTGAGTATATGATTGTCAAGCACAGAAATACGAAAATGAAGTGCTATAAATACTAATTTTTTCGTCTCAGATTGGATCAAAGATCAATCTTACTAAATATCATTTTTATCTCTTAGTCAATCGTCGTCATTATTTTATCTTCAAGAACAAATTCAATCGCTTCTGCAATTTCATTCTCATTGGATTGAAAAGGAAAATTTTTGACATTCGACAAATCAACAAAATGTAGTTTTTCAATTTTTAATTTTATCGGAAAAGATTTTCAAATCGATGTGGAAGAATATCTTCGTCAGCCATCGAGCAAATCTTTGATCAATTATTTAAATACTCTTTCTAGTGAAGATCCATTCTTCCTGATAAATGAACATTCCTGTACATGAATGATCGATTTGTTTCTCGATTGAAGATTTCGATCGATCAACTTCGCTGCTCGAAATCGCATGTTTTCCAATGAACAACAAAAGAAGAAACGACAAATCATTTCGATTTTCTCAATAAAAGTTTTACTTCTGGAGGAATCCGGGAACGATTTGTTACTGCTGTATCTTTTCTTGTTTGACTCACGTCTCTGTTTCGAAAGACATCAGTGACCTCTTTTCTATATCATAAATAATCATTGGTTTCGCTAACAGACCGAAGAGATCACGAAATCAGTAAGGGCCAAGTGCTATTCTTTTGTTCGTTCGGAAATATTTTCAATGAACGATGAGGATTTTCTATAATTTCTATCTGACTATGTGATCTCGTCAGTAACGAATTCTGTCATTGTAACAGCTCTTTGACTAAATGTTCATCTCAAAAGAAACTTACGACAATGAAAGAGTTTGCGAAAGATAAAGATTAAAAAATGCTCTTGTGGTTTTATGCGAAGAATTATGTTATTTTCTATATATTTATAAATGAATTTCATTCTAGAAGGACTGTTCGATCAAAACAATTTTCATGCCCCGTTCATCAAGTCCATTTCGATTTGAACAATTAACTGATGAAATCATCTATTCGCATTCGACAGCAAGGAATTAGCCGAAACCTACTGAATTCGACTGAAATCGACGAAAAAGCAGCGCCGGAGCCGACTCAGATTTAAATGGATCCAGTCGCCGGAATGATCGGCTTGGATATGATAATGCATAGTGCTACCAAAAATGTATCATCAATATCGTATATTCTTCTTCAATAATAATGAAACAAGTTTAGTTTTCGATTTAACAAAACAGATGCTATTGATTAATCAACATCCATCTAAACGATTTGATCAATTAGAAGCGGAGCTTTGCTTTCACTTTTGTTTCAATGAATCCTTTCGATTGAATATCCCATCGAGTTTGAAGAAAGATCTATTCATTATTGGCAACTGTCAGACACCACTTCAAGCTGAAAAAGAAAAGTCCTCGATCAGATTTTGGCCAATCAATTGAACTCAACTGAAATGGTTTTTCCTGGTCAATCACCTGCTGCGATCGACGATGACATTCAACTTTACAACGATGAAAAATTAACGACAATTTATCATCGATATGTTCTTTTTGAAACCACGTTGAAAGTGGACGGTGTCGTACAAAAGCTACTACAGCTAGAAAGACTCTTGGCATTTTTAACCACCCGTCACTTATTTCGTCTAAAGGCATCCTCTCGATTATTTTCGACATAATTTTATCCATCTGATTTCCGTCGGTTGATAGAATCTATTCAGACGAATCATTTAGGAAAAATAAACGATAGTGAACTTTCAACACTGATAATAATAGCGTTCTCGTGTATTGGTTTCGCCGGATTTTCAATGCCGGTCAATGTGCAATCGGATATTCTCAAGCATTTGCAAGATCAAGTAGAATGTCGATTTCATTTGCTCAACGCACTACTGAATCATGGAAGATTGTTGTTTTATCATGTTGAAGATACAACAAAAGGCTGGCGTCCAGCAATTTTAACGAATATGGCCTTGTTGTCCGAACGTTTATCAACTATCGAAGATCTGCAAAAATCAAGTCAAACTAATTTCAATGCACTACTCGATAAAACAAACCGGCACGCACAATCAATGACGAAAATTCATGAATCACTCAATAGTCTCGATCAAAAAATCAATGACAGACAGAAAACCACCGATAATCAATTGAAGAAAATCAGTGACAGACAGAAAACCACCGATGATCAATTGAAGAAAATCATTGCGTTGCTCAGCTCCGATGAAGAAAAAAGAAGCCGATCGTGTTCTTGTATTTTATCGTAATTAGGGATTTTTTTTGTCTAGCGTTCTCTTGTCATCTGCGTTGAAATAAACATCATTTTTCATTTTAATTAATTGCTTCAACATTTTTCTCATTGATCTTAAACGAAAACCTCGACAACCGATATCATTTTCTTCTTCCGCAGAAAATCAATATAAATATTCTAACGAATTGATTTAAAGAATTTTTTCGTAAAGAACAGCGTCGATTATATGCTATGTGCCGATCGTTTCTATTTTGATTAGATTTCCTTCGTATACATCACACTACCGATGATATTCAGACTTTCTCTAGAATAACTTCTTCTTTGAAACCAGATAAATAGGCAAGTTCATCACGTATCTGAGGAGAAAGAATGGAATCGTATACAGTGGAGTTCCTGTTGTTGTTTCATGAATTGTGATGATTTATCCTAATAAAAGTCATTCTCTTGTTGACTTAAAGATTATTGCAGAGAAATGGCTACACAGGGCTACTTGATAGTCAATAGTTATTTGAAGAACGGTATGAAGTTCTCTTCTGGATTGGAATTCATGATCAAAATCATTGATCAACCAAACATATTTTCAATTATCGCTTTTTCTATTTTTCATTCACTTTGCATTAAAGGCAATATTTGAAGAACATTTTCATTGTTCTTTTCCAAATTTTACGCGTTTTATTCATCGATTTTCGTTGATGCTGAATATATATTTCATTTTTGAGTGAAATTCTCTGACGTTGATGATCACTGCATTCTCCCCTGACCAATATTGTTCATTTGCTTCAGATTTCACTCCTAGATATTTCTTGATGCGATAGGATTATGTTTTTCGACCAGTAATGCTCCAGCGACCCATGTGGGTGTTGGTTGTCAGAAGTGACCCAAGCCTGTCATTAGTGTCAAACTCGAAAGTTTAATTGAGTTATTCAAGTATTCAGTTCTTCAGGTATTGAGGTATAGAGTAAGTCCATGTCGGTGGCCGCGACAACATCCATCGCAGCACCCTCACCCTCACCCGGCAAGCAATTATTATACCAATAATCGATGCCGATAATGATGAAGTTCGTTGTCGATTTGATAAGGATTCAGCAGAATGTACCGGTGTATGTCCACCAAACTCATTACCAAACGGAACATTAATATTACTCAATTGTGCGCTACCTATCACTGGTAGTGAGTCATCTGATTGGTACATCGTTGCAGTTATGGTAAGAAAATAAAAAGCGCATAAAATGAGTGCGCACTGTATGTCGATCTAGATTGAAGATTTCATTGAATCAACTTCAAAAGACACCACTGAGCAATATTCCTATTCAATTTTTAGTTCATGTCCAAGGTAGCTTAGAGTGTCATGTACCACGTTTGACGAGTCCTCTTACTGAATCTACTCAATGTGTTGATGTTCAAGTAGATAAATTATACGAAATTCCACTTCTTGTTGAAACAATATTTTGAGTTGTTATTTTTAATAAATCTTTAGCAATAATATGCAATCGAATCAATATTATGCTACATTTACAGTAGCTGAAAATGATGTTCCACTATGTCCTGAACAGTGAGTCTAGATGTTTTAGCAGCTTCTATAATCCTTGTAAATAGTTTTTTCGTAGTTATGATGATAATTCAACTTTGGCAGCGCTGGTAACNATTCCACTTCTTGTTGAAACAATATTTTGAGTTGTTATTTTTAATAAATCTTTAGCAATAATATGCAATCGAATCAATATTATGCTACATTTACAGTAGCTGAAAATGATGTTCCACTATGTCCTGAACAGTGAGTCTAGATGTTTTAGCAGCTTCTATAATCCTTGTAAATAGTTTTTTCGTAGTTATGATGATAATTCAACTTTGGCAGCGCTGGTAACATCGAGTAAGATTATTTTGTTGCTATGAACATTTAAAAAATCTTCTCCGTAGGATCGACTTCACCATGGTTTTGGATTGGTCCAATACTTGCAGTGCTTCTGCTCTGCTGATGTGAACCACGGTTAGTTGATGTTTTCTGTACTTGTGTTCATCTGTAGTATGTTTTAGTTGTCTTGCTGCGAGTTATCGCAAGTCTACAAACGCGGATGAACCAATAAATAATGATCGCAATCAAACATCAACTTCAACATACTCTCTACCAAACGATGCAGAACTGAAAAGTCCAGCGTCAGTATCGGAATCGTATGTTTTTGGCGAGAAAATACTATGATTCATCATCACCTCATATTTACGTATTGTCTTGCCTTTTCAAACATACTTGTTTGTACACATGGATTGAGAGTTTTGATCAAAGATACACATATAATCATGTAATGTATCTTTTGATCAGAGAGAGAAAGAACGACGCTTCTTTACATCACTCTCGCTTTCATAAATAAAACACATCAACCATTACAATTATTGATCATGCATTACGTACTTGTTCTTGTCTCATTGATGAAGCGTTAAATAATTTTTTTTTTAAATTGACTCAAGATGAAGAGGTGTTACACAAAGAGAGTTCGATAAATAGAAAAACCGTTATGGTAAATATTAATATTTCATCGAGTATAACTCTATTGAATGCAGTTATTACAAATGACTTCACATAAGAAACAATCGATGGCCGTACGTATAAGACATTTCGATTCAATGAGAATCATGTTTGTGAGATGGTTTTCTTCATTGTTTTCAGAAATTAGATCCTTTCCGACGATCACGTCGATCAACAATTATATCTCCGACTCGATATATTCGTGAATGGCATTGGCATGCACTATCAGTTCTAGTTTGCATCGCCTGTCTTCTAACATTTATCGCAGGATACGTGAATACAATTTGTATTGTAAATGCATTTCGTCTTCCGCTAACTGCTCTGACGGGTAGTACGTCAAAAATGGCGATTATTCTCGCTCAAGGCCGCTTTGACATTGCCTTTCATTTCTTTTTATTGATCTTTTCATTCGCTTGGGGCAGTTTTATTTCGGCTGCGATCATCGGTGGTTCTTCGTTTCGAATTCAACATCATTATGGCTTTGTACTCTTTCTCGAATCTATCGCTCTCGGTATTGGCAGTCTTTTCGAAGTAAGAAGTGAAAAACATGGAGCACACACTTGTGAACGAATTCTCTTTTTAGAATGTTCATATTTCATTGAATTCTCATTGGGAAGCATTATCACCGAGTGCATATTTAGTATGTTTGGGATTTGGACTACAAAATGGTATGTGTACGACGTATTCAGGTGCTGTTATTCGTACGACACATGTAACAGGAACAATGACAGACAT